CCTAAAACAATGATAAAAAGTATATATACTATTGTAAGTATATAAACCACTAACATAGTCATTTGTTTTCAAGTACTATGTGCTATATATAATTGTATATACAATTATACATAGTACAGTACAGTGTAGTAGGCTATGCCATTTAGGTTTGTGTAAGTTGACAGTATGACATAGATATATACTATATACAGAGTGCTATACTTGTATATACCTGGTAGTGCAGTAGGTTTGTTTATGCCAGCATCACAACAAAAACATAATACGGCCGGGCACGGTGGCTCATGTCTGTAAACTCAGCACTTTGGGAGGCCAAGGCAGGCGGATCACCTAAGGTCAGGAGTTCAAGATCGGCTTGGCCAACATGGTGAAACCCTGCCTCCACTAAAAATACAAAAATTAGCCAGGCGTGGTGGTGGGCGCCTGTAATGCCAGCTACTCAGGAGGCTGAGACAGGAGAATCACTTGAGCTGGGAGGTGGAGGTTGCAGTGAGCCGAGATCATGCCATTGCACTCCAGCCTGGGTGACAAGAGTGAAACTGTCTCAGGGGAAAAAAAAAATGTAATGCATTGTGCCACGACAACAGGACGGCTAGGATGTCATTAGGAGACAGGAATTTTTCAGATCCATTATAATCTTATGGGACCACCAACATATGTGCAGTCTGTCATCGACCAAACATCATTCATTATGCAGTGCATGACTCTCCAGCCACAGAAGTTATAATCATAGAAAAAAATTAACAAAAATATAAAAGGCACATACTAAGTTGTTAACATAGGTTAACGATAAGGGAGAGGGTTCAACAAGCAAAAATGAACTTGAACCTTCTCACAATTTTATATTAAAATGATGTATGTATGCATGTATACAAATATGTAAAAAAAATTTTAAGAAAATGTCTTTGGGAGGCTGAGGCAGTTGGATGGATCATTTGAGGTCAGGAGTTTAAAACCAACCTAACCAATACGGTGAAACCCCGTTTCTACTAAAAATACAAAAATTAGCCAGGCATGGTGGTGGGTGCCTGTAATCCCAGCTACTCAGGAGGTTGTGGCAGGAGAATCCCTTGAACCCAAGAAGGGGAGGTCACAGTGAGCTGAGATAGCACCACTGCATTACAGCTTGGGTGACAGAGTGAGAGTCTGTCTCAAAAAAAAAAAAAAGATAGAAAATTGTGTGGAATTACAGATTTCAGTTAAAAAAAAAAAACAAAACACGTGGCCGGGCGTGGTAGCTCACGCCTGTAATCCCAGCACTTTAGGAGGCCAAGGCGGGCGGATTACGAGGTCAGGAGATTGAGACCACCCTGGCTAACACAGTGAAACCCCGTCTCTACTAAAGAATACAAAAAATTAGCCGGGCATAGTGGCTAGTGCCTACAGTCCCAGCTACTCGAGAGGCTGAGGCAGGAGAATGGCGTGAACTCAAGAGGCTGAGGTTGCAGTGAGCCAAGATTGCGCCACTGCACTCCAGCCTGGGCGACAGAGCAAGACTCCATCTCAAAAAAAAAAAAAAAAAAAAAACATGTTTCCTAATGTATTACAAGGAGACTCCCCAAAAATGTTGTGGAAAAAATTTATAATACTAAAAAAAATAGGACAGGCCTGTAATCCCAGCACTTTGAGAGGCTGAGGCAGGAGAATCATGTGAGCCCAGGAGTTTGAGACCAGTCTGGGCAACACAGCAAGACCTCGTCTCCATAAAAAAATAAAAAATTAGCCAGACACGGTGGCAAGTGCCTGTATTCCCAGCTACTTAGGAGGCTGAGGTGGGAGGATTGCTTGAATCTGGAAGGTTTAGGCTGCAATGAGCTGTGAACTCCAGCCTGGGCGACAGAGCAAGACCCTGTCTCGAAAAAAAAAAAAAGTAAGATTACTTCTCTCTCATGTTCTGAGGTGAATGGTCTCAGTAGGTGGTATAGCTGTTTTTTAAAGTCACTCAGGGGCCCAGGATCCTTCTAGCATGTTGTTCCACAATCCTCTAGGACACTGTTAGCATTTGCAGGGTTGGAGAAGAATCATTTCAGCTCTGACTGATGGGAAGCAAAGAGGCCAGAGAAGTAGGCAGGCTGTCTTGGAGCCTCCCTTGGAAATGGCACCCGCCAGAGCTCAAAACCCACTGACAGGCACCTGGCAACTTGGTCAAACCTGACTGCAACAGGACTGAGCCATGTAGTGTAATTGTGTGCCTCAGAAAACAAGGATGGATTCAACGTGGTAAGAAATGAATAGTCGCTGCCAAAAAGTTATCTGGAATAATATAAAATCCCCATGATTATGAAGTGGTTGCCATAAAAGGCAGGATAATTAATGACTACATTTGAGCACAGAGAGATTTTAATTGAGTAAATTTTAATGAAGTAAATTTTGAGGTCTTGGCAATCTAAGTGGTAGTTACATGGATATTCTCTTACATTAACTTAAGTTTTGCATTTTTAGTGTTTTTCGTGACAAAGTGTTTTTAAATAAAGATCTATACTTGTTTCAAGAAGATGTAACAGTCCAATCTTTACTGAAAGTGTATCTTGAGTCACCTCAGTCAGTCTAGCAGATAAGAAAATTAGACCCCAAAATGACAAGTATCACAGGTTTAAAACAGTTTGGTGTGACTTAGTGTTTGTAAAAGTAAGTATTTGTAGTTTATTTCCATTAATTTCTGAGTTTAATTTTGGTATTTATTTGGTAGGAAATAGGCTCATGGAAATGAAAGGCTAATTTACAATACTTTTCTTAGAATAATTTGACATAATAACAGCTCAGTATTTGACAAGAATCTAGAGTCAATTAAAACTTTAGCTCCAGCATCACTCATCAATAATCCACCAGCAACTTTAATTTGGATTCAAATGATGAAGGAATAAAACTGGTGAGAATCTGTGGTGGAAAGACTCTAAGGTGGTCCTATGATCCCTGTCTCTTGGTATCATGTCCTCACGTAACTCCCCAACCCTCTGAGTGGGAATGGGACTATTGATTAGCTTCTAACCAACAGAATACACCAAAGGCAGCAGCATGTATGTGATCACATTATATAAAAGTGTAATGTCAGTCTTGTTAGAGAGACTTTTGCTGGCTTAGAAAAAGTGAGCTGCCATACTGTAGGTTGCCCACAGAGAGGATCATATGACAGGAACTGGGGATACCTTCCACACACCAGCCAGTGAGAAACTGAGACCCTTGGTCTGAAAGTCTGTAAGAAAATGAATTCTGTCAACAACCATGTGAGTTTAGAAGAGAGTGCTTCCCCAACTGCAGCCTCAGGAGAGACACCAGCCCTGGCTGATACCTGGAGTCCACCCTTGCAGAGGACCTAGCAGAGTCAGGTCCAGGCTCCTGATGCACAGAAACTGTACAACAATAATTGTGTTGTTTTAAGCCAGTAAGTTTGTAGTAATAATGTTATATAGCAACAGAAAATATAAAATCCTCATGAGAATTCCACTATTTTTCCAAATCCAAGAGAGAAAAGTAGTATCATATATTTTTTTTTTATCTTCTCAATAACCTTAACAAACAAAAGTCAGAATTTTAACAGGGTATTTTATTTTCAGAGATGGGATCTTGCTACGTTGCCTAGGCTGGACTCGAACGCCTAGGCTCAAGTGATCGTCCCAGGCATTAACGAGGTATTTTAGGACAACAATAAGAGCTGATATGAGATGGACTGTCATAAATTTTTCATGAGAGCCTCATACTATAGCTGTCAGACGCATTTGATTATTCTTACCAGTTTTTGAAGGGGAGTATATTTCCACCTCTGTCAAGTATTCACCACTCTATTATTCAAAAAAATATGGAATAATAAATGTGATTATGATAGTGTCTTACACTATCAATTGCTAGGCATGTAATTTGCACTTAAAAATTCTTACCAGTTTATTAGTGACTTTTACTGTAATCAAGTATATAAGCAACAGCTGCCTGAATATGAATGGATCAAAACGTTAAGTGCAACTGTATCTTAATCAAGAAGCTGTGTTTATAAGAGCTTTTGTGCTAATATTCGGCACTATTCTCAATTATTTCAATTCAATTTCATTTCTCAATTATATCTCACACACTTATATCTTATTTTGTAGAAGGAGAAACTAATCACAAATTATTGACCCAGACTTGCAAATTTAAAATAAAAACTGTTTTGCTAGTAGCAAAAAAAAGACAACAAAAAACAAAACAAAACAAAAAAACACCAAAAACCCTGGTGTTACAAACATTTCAGTGACATTTGTGAGCATATCATTGCTTTTACTTTTTTTTTTTTTTTTTTTGAGACAGAGTCTCGCTCTGTCACCCAGGCTGGAGATCTCAGCTCACTGCAAGCTCTGCCTCCTGGGTTCATGCCATTTTCCTGCCTCAGCCTCCCAAGTAGCTGGGACTACAGGTGCCCACCACCACGCCAGGCTAATTTTTTGTATTTTTAGTAGAGACAGGTTTTCACTGCGTTAGCCAGGATGGTCTCGATCTCCTGACCTCATGATCTGCCTGCCTTGGCCTCCCAAAGTGTCAAGATTACAGGCGTAAGTCACCGCGCCCAGCCCCACTGCTTTTACTATTATACCACGTCATAAACCCATATACACTGATCCAATAATCCTTGCCACCTAAGAGTTTACATTTCTATAGTAGTATAATACACATATTGTCAAAAATATATCTCTCGTTCACCACACACAATAGCAAATACTATGTACAGGTTTGATGACCTGAGAACCAAGATTAAAGCATCTCTTTCAAAGATACTAAAATACCTGATCCAGATTCTAAGGGAATGTTTGACAGAAATACCTGGAATAAGAAAGAGAGTGCTACATTTTTAAAGCAATGAAGGTTAAGGGAACATGAAAATTAGCAAGCAGAAGCTCAGTCAGCACTGAATGAGTGTAAAAGGGGCAGAAGCTGGGCTTCATCTGTCTACATGCATTCGATTTTCAATTCTTAGTCTTTAGAACAACTAACATTCAAAGTATCAAGAGAGAGAAAGGTTCATAAAAATTACTTACTCTCTGTACTCTTTCCCCAAGTCTTAGAATCCACTAAATCACCTGAATGCATAGCAGACATAATCTTCTGAGCAACAGTGGAGAGCGGTGTATTACAGAGATCAAAGCCTACCAATGCCTCATAATTTTCCATTTTCACAAAATCCTAAATGTAAGATTAACATAAGATAAATCCCATATATTAATTCTAAGACTTTAAAACAGGAAATACAATTATTTTGAAAAATTTATATACCAAGACTTTCATTTAAAATGTCTATATTCATAACCATAGAAAATAGGCATCAATCATCCAATAATACAGATAGAAAGAAAAAAGCAAAATAGCTAGAGGCTCAATCCAGGTATCATACTAAATAGATAAAGAACTTATTTTCTAGGTAACCAATTTAGAAGCAAGCGATCTACTCAAATACTTCCTGAGGTTTGAAAAATGATATTAAATCTCCAAACAGGCTCACGCCTGTAATCCCTGCACTTTGAAGGTAGGCCGAGGCAGATGGATCACCTGAGGTCAGGAGTTCGAGACCAACTTGGCCAACATGATGAAATCCCATCTCTACTAAAAATACGAAAAATTAACTGGGCATGGTGGCGCCTGTAATCCCAGCTACTCAGGAGGCCTGAGGCAGGAGAACCACTTGAACCCAGGAGGTGGAGGCTGCAGTGAGCTGAGATCACGCCACTGTACTCCAGCCTGGGCAACAAGAGCGAAACTCTGTCTCAAAAAATAAAAACAAAACAAAATAAATCTTCAAATAAACATATCTAGTAACACAATGATTATAACTAACTTGGGTAATTATGGCAGACACACAACTACCATCCCTGCCTTGATCAGTCCCGCTGGTCCCCTGGCCTGAGCAAGCGAAAGTTTGGGTGGGGAGAGTATAAATCAAGCATCTGGGCAGGGGCATGGTGGCTTACACCTATAATGCCAGCATTCTGGAAGGCCAAGGCGGGTAGATCACTTGAGGTCAGGAGTTTGAGACCAGCCTGACCAACATGGTGAAACCCTGTCTCTACTGAAAACACTAAAATTAGCCAGGTGCAGTGGTGTACGCCTACAATCCCATCTACTCAGGAGGCTGAAGCAGGAGAATCACTTGAACCTGGGAGGCAGAGGTTGCAGTGAGCTGAGATCGTTCTGCTCAACTCCAGCCTGGGTGACAGAGTTAGACTCTGTCTCAAAAAATTAATTAACAAATTAAATAAATCAAGGGTCTGGCCACACATCTAAATATCTGACACTAATTTAAACAGAATTTGCTACCATAAACCAGGAAAACAGATGACATATTTTCCACATTATTGGAGAACAGAAAAATTTTAAGTAAACTCTCTATCCCAAGATAGAATAGAAAAAAATATATACAACAAAAATGTTGCTCAGGTGATATGCAGCTGATAGCAAAATTGTAAACAAAATTTATTGCTACAAAATTAAGGTTTACATAACATTTTAAATAACAAACACAATAACTGGAAAATATTTTTGTTCGATGGGTTTCAAAAATCAAGAGGGTTCATCTGTCATCCAGGTATGCCTGATGGTTATAGCTAAAAAATTCCACAAAGACCACCCAAAACATGTAGTTTTTAGATTGGCACTCCATATTACAAACAGGTGAGGAATATTCTTAAAGGTATTCCTACAAAGCTCACAAGGTATTTGTCACAGGCCACGTATAAATTAGGCACTCAAGAAGCATCTGATGTAGTAACAGATGAGCTACTTCAAATTATTTTAGACCAACCCTTATTTTCTGGTTGCCCGAATACCATTATTAAATATAATTAAACATTTTTGCTCTTAAACTGATTAAAATAGTATCATACATCTTTTGAACAACCACTTTTACAAAATTTTGAAATTCAAATTTCATTTGAAAGTCATTTATGATGTGTAAGTCACATTAAAGTCAAAGCACTGCTGAGCTGTCTTGTAGAAAACTTTGAGTCCCCAGAATTCAGACTCTAAAACGAATGATGGCCAAGGAAGTCCTAATACTCTGTAGTACAAGCAAGGACATTAAAACAGTCTAAAGGTCCATAGCAGGGAATTATGGAGTAATACAATTTGAGCAGCAAAATTTTATCTGACAGTCAAACACGAGGGGACCTGGCTATTTCACATATTAAGGTCTACAGATTTAACAATGCTGACTAGAAGTTCTACACATTTTAAAATATTTAATAGCGGCTGGGCGTGGTGGCTCATGCTTGTAATTCCAGCACTTCGAGAGGCCGAGGAGAGGGGATCATGAGTTCAGTAGATGGAGACCATCCTGGCCAACATGGTGAAACCCCATTTCTACTAAAAACACAAAAAATTAGCTAGGCGTGGCAGTGCGCGCCTGTAGTCCCAGCTACCTGGGAGGCTGAGGCAGGAGAATTGCTTGAACCTGGGAGGTGGAGGTTGCAGTAAGCCAAGATCGTGTCACTGCATTCCAGCCTGGAGACAGAGTGAGACTCCATCTCAAAAAAAAAAAAAAAAAAAAAAAAAAAAAAAAAAAATTTTAACAGCAGAAAATTTCTATTTCTAAAAAGAAAGGAGAGAGATAACTATATTTAAAAATATTTGCATTAGGTAATAATGCTTTTTCCCAGTAAGTAAAAAATTACCAGGACTAAGTACCACTAACATGCTCAAGTCATAAAAAGCACTGGTACTCTGAATGTACCACATGAGAAAAAAGCCAAATTAATACTTGAATTCATCAAATGAAATGTCCCATTGACCTCAAATTTTAAAAATTTCGTAGTGTTTATTATACACAGTCTTCTCCTAATAAATAAAAGAGCACATGTAATAAAGATTCGGTTTCCAGTAATTTTCAATCTTCAAGACTAACAGCCTTAATCTTTGATTGAGTTTCTAAATTCTCCACAATATCTTTCAGATAATCTTCATCTTTTAAAAAATATACATATAATTCTCTTTCCATTTGATGTAACTTATTATTTGCCAAAGTTTTTCTTTTTGTCTTCACATCAGCAAGAATATCAGTGAGGAGATGATTTAGCTTATTCAGTTGAGATTCAACTTGATGAAACTGCTCTGTTAACTCCTAAAAAAAAGAAAATAAAAATAAAAATTCAAACACTTTTTTCCTAACACCAATTATAAAATTAAAGTATAATTTACATGGAAAGACTTTAAATGACTTAACAACTTCCCACAATTTTAGCAATAAATAAGCCTCAATTTAAAATCCATAATAGGTTTGATATAAATTCTAAGTAAGACTAATTGCAACAGCTTCTGATAGGTAATTTTAAGTGATTCAAAGGAAACTCTTCCTGAAGAGTACTTGATATGTATGCTGTTCTGTGCATTCATATATTCAACAAATACTATTGTGCCAAGTACTGTTTTAGAGATTACTGATACAAGAATGAATAAAATCTCCCTCATGGAGCTTATATTCTGCTTAATTAGTCAAACCTTGTTTATTCTAGACAGAAAGTACAGAGAAAGTTGAAATGAAGACCAATGAAAGAGAATTATCTCAACACAAATCTCCATTTTTCATTTTTTCTTATTATCTTACCAAACGGAATTACATGACATTCCACGAAAATTATGCTGACTAATCATGTAATTTTCCTGCTCAAGAATCTAGACATTCCGACCCTTCACATTTATTATAGTAAATTCAAAATCCTTAGTGTCTAGCATTTAAACTAGATTAACAAGTTTTCATAGCTTTCTAATCAAGCACTCTACTTATAAATTTTAGCCAGTATCACCAAAGAGGTTCTCAGAAAAATCTGTTGCTCTAACTACCCTCAATTTTCTACAGCTTCTAGGCATGGTCCACAAGCACAATTATCTGAAGTACTTGTTATGAATACAGATTCCTGTACCCCCTACTAGATTAAATTACTTAATCTCTGTACAGAGCTAGGAACCTGCATTTTGATATGCTCCCTGATGATTCTAACATACAAGTTCAAGAATGACTACCTAAGACGTGTCATAAATGCCAATTCACAGAGCAGTACTTCTTAAAATACATATTTTTGAAAATCAAGTAATTTCAACATTATATCTACATTTAGTGATCTCCTCTAAGACAAACTTGATAAACATGAATATACTGAAAAACAACAATCTCATCTTTACTTTCAATTACATACTAAAGATCATACAGTTACTAAAATATTGCTACAGAGACTGAAGTTCCGCTTCATTAATAATAGAAACACAAGTTAAAATTGATACAGCATTTTACATCACATTGAGCTAGGGAAAAACGCTAATGATACCTACTGATAGAGTGAAATTACCATATTTTAGTGATTCTTAGATGCATTTTTTTCACATTTTAACATATCTGAAATGAAGATGCATCTTAATCAAGAACATCACATGACTGTTTCTGGCCAGGTACTCTTAAGAAATACTTTCTCATCAACATTCTTGATATACAGTGTGGAAAATTACAGACAACTCTGAGTCAAAAAATAACTTAGAAGAATTGAACATTGAAATATGATGCTTTAGAACTACCCTAACCATTTAAATTGACTTATTTTTTTTCCTTTTAACGTATGTCCAAGAGTGGTGATAAAAATCTATGTCTACCTACACATAGGTAGGTAAAAGATCTTTTCTACTAAGTATGAAAAACAAAAATTCTTAATAAGAAAACATTGTGTCGCTTTAACTAAGAGATTTTTTTTTAGCAATTCATAAAATGATGGTGTGCCAAATGATCAATGGTATCTAGTGGATGCTTAAATAGTGCTGGTAGCATTATAAACTCCTTTAAAAGGCAATCTGGCAGTATCAACGGCAAAAAAAGTGTATATATGGCCCCGGCACAAAAAATCCGAAAGATCCTATTTCCGAGAATTTATCCAGATGGAAGTATCCAACAACAAAAAGTTATATACATAAAGATATACAGGCCGGGCGCGGTGGCTCAAGCCTGTAATCCCAGCACTTTGGGAGGCCGAGACCGGCGGATCACGAGGTCAGGAGATCGAGACCATCCTGGCGAACACGGTGAAACCCCGTCTCTACTAAAAAATATAAAAAAACTAGCTGGGCGAGGTGGCAGGCGCCTGTAGTCCCAGCTACTCGGGAGGCTGAGGCAGGAGAATGGCGTAAACCCGGGAGGCAGAGCTTGCAGTGAGCTGAGATCCAGCCACTGCACTCCAGCCTGGGCAACAGAGCCAGACTCCATCTCAAAAAAAAAAAAATAAAAAAAATAAAGATATACATGATATTGTTCAAGAGCAAATAAAAGAAAAAAATGAAGACTATCAAAATGCCCAATACCAATAACCAGCTACAAAATTAATGGCATAGTAATTAAATCAAGACAGTATAGTTAACATTAAAAGTTAAGAAAACTTTAGAGAGTAAAAATGTTTATTTCATCATGCTAAGTAAAAACAAAACTATGGTCTTTGCTGAGGGTCTTTAGAAGTTAGCACCACGGCAGAAGACATGAAGGTCAAAATTAAGAACTACAGGATTGTCCCATTTGACAGCCACTTTGTCAACTAGAACCAGAACATGAACTGCTGGCAGAACCACCTGGACTTCTACCACTCCAAGAAGGCAATGACTGCTAAAGGGGGTGATGTCTCTGTGTGCGAAAGGTACTGGCATGTGTAGAAGTCCCTCTGCCCCATATCCCTGGTCTTGACCTGGGACAAAGGCACGCTTCCTGGGAAAATCTGAACTCGCTCCACCCCACCTTTCCCCTGTTCTCCATCCTTCTCCCAGGGTGGTAGAGGGGGACCCAGGTACGTGATGATCCCTACCCTGGGTCCGTGAATCAGGACTTAACTAATACTAAAAACTTAATGGAAAAGTGTAAAGAAAACTATATGCCTTACAATTACTAAGAAAAAGAAAAATGACACAGGAATATTAATATTAGACAAAAGAATATTAAGACAAAAAGCATCACAGGAATAGTCATTATGTAACGCTAAATGCTTTAATTCACTGCAATTTAAAACAATCAAGATACTCACTGTGATTTTAAACCTGGATATAACTTATAAAACAAACTCAAAATACATAGAGAAAAAAATGATATACAACTACATGGAGAAATTTTCTTCTTTTTTGAGACCGAGTCTTGCTCTGTCACCCACGAAGCAGTGCAGAGGCACGATCTCGGCTCACTGCAACCTTTGCCTCCCGGGTTCAAGCGATTCTCCTGCGTCAGCCTCCCAAGTAGCTGGGATTACAGTTGTCTGCCACCACGCCCAGCTAATTTTTGTATTTTTAGTAGAGATGGGGTTTCACCATCTTGGCCAGACTGGCCTTGAACTCCTGACCTTGTGATCCACCCACCTCAGCTTCCCAAAGTGCTGGGATTATAGGCGTGAGCCACTGCGCCTGGCCTATGTGGAGAAATTTTCGAATCCACCATCACAGTGGAAATTTGTATACAATTCTCAATAGATCAAGAAGACAAAAATCAGTAATGGGAGACCTTTCAAAAAACAAATCACAGATACCATTTCACACCCATCGGGATGGCTACTATTTTAAAAACCACAGGAAATAAGTGTTGGCAAAGATGTGGAGAAACTGGAATTGTGCAGCTATGAGATATCCAAGACTATCATAGGAATAAGATCTATAGTAATAAAAACTGTAAATAACCTAAATGTCTGTCAATCTAACAGATAATGTCATTGTGGAATATCACACAATAGAATACTAACTATACAAAAGAGAACACTATGAATGAACTATAGCTTTACATATGAGTGAGTCTCAAAAACACGTTAAGCCATTGAAAAAGCAAGCAAGTCACTGAAGGATACATACCTTCAATATACATACCTTCGGTATACCAACATCAGTATAACAGCATATAAAGTTCAAAAACGTATAAAACTAAGTCTAGAAATATATATATGTGTGTGTGTATGTATGTGTATAATAAAACTATACATAAAAGCAAGAAAATGATGAACAAAATTAAGCATGGTAGTTACTCTTTGAAGATGACAGGCGAATTATGTTAGGAGGAGCATGTACCAGTAAGTGTACACAGAGGATTTTAAAGATATAAAGGCAATCCTGTGTTTGCTAAGATGAGTGAAAAAAATACAGAGGCGGTTTTTTTTTTTAACACTAATATAAACATTACATATCCTTTTGTGTCTGAAAAACTGTATACATTTTTAAATTTCTGTGCACACTCATCAAAACTATCTGAAAAACATATTTATATGTGAACAAAAATTAGGAGACATAGAAATATATTTTATATTAAGGCAATGGAATTGGGGTAATATTTTCCTCATGTCAACATTTTCTTTAATATCTTCTAAAACAAGCATTTTTTAAAAAAGCATTTTTAACTACTATGGCAAATACCCACCTGATCACTAAGCAAAAGCTGATTTCCTCCTTGATACAAAGCATCACAAAGCATGTCCACATCCTTATTCCGTTTGGACAGAAAGAAAGAATGTTCTTGAGCAGATACTGCCAACTGATCTTGTACTAAAGAAACATTCTGTTTCAATTTCTCGGCCACTTCCTCAAGGTTTCCATGAGTTAGAAACAATTCTTTTTTCTTATTCTCTCCCTCTAAAAGTTGGTAAAGCCTAAAATGTAAAAATTAAAATTATAGGGAAAAATTATCAAGTCAGTATCATTTTCAAAATTATAATCCACTGTATTGGGGCATTTGTGGGGATAGCTAAGTAACAACTTATAAAAATATTGGCCAGGTACAGTGGCTCACGCCTGTAATCCTAGCACTTTGGAAGGCCAAGGTGGGCAGACTGGCTGAGCTCAGGAGTTCAAGACCAGCCTGGGCAACATGGTAAAACCCCATCTCTACTAAAATACAAAAAAATGTTAGCCAGGCATGGCGGCATGCACCTATAGTCCCAGCTACTCAGCAGGCTGAGGCAGGAGGATTGCTTGAACCCAGGAGGCAGAGGTTGCAGTGAACCAAGATCGCGCCACTGCACTCCAGCCTGGGCAACAGAGGGAGACGCCGTCTCCAAAAACAGAAATAATAATAATAATAATTTGTGTGCCTGCAAAAATCAAGCAACTGAAACCATTCTAACTGTAACACTATCTCAGTACAGAAATATATATTCTAACTACTACATTAGATAAGCAGTCTATTACTGAATCCCAGTTTCCCCACCATCCAAGTTTTAGATATAAAATTCTTCTTAACTTTAACTGCCACTAACCTACTTCAAAGTGCAATTCAGAGATACCTCCCAAGATAACACTTGTCTCACAGAATATAACGATGATGTAGTAGAAACAACAGGCTATGGTTCATGCCTCTAATCCCAGCCCTGTGGGAGGGTTACTTGAGCCCAGGAGTTCAAGACCAGACTTGGCAACATATTGAAGTCTCACGTCTACAAAAATAATTTTTTTTTTTTTAATTAGCCAGGCATGGCGGCACATGCCTGTAGTCCTAACTACTCAGGAAGTTGAGGCAGGAGGATCACTTGAGCCCAGAAGATGGAGGCTGCAGTGAGCTATCATCACATCACTGCACTCCCACCTAGGCAAGAGAGTGAGACCTTGTCTTAAAAGAAAGAAAGGTAAGGGAAGGAAGGGAAGGAAGGGAAGGAAGGGAAGAAAGAGAGAAAGAGAGAGAAAGGAAGGGAAAGGAGGGAAAGGAAGGAAAGGAAGGAAAGGAAGGAAAGGAAGGAAAAAACAAGCAAGCAAGCAAGCAAGCAAGCAAGCAACGAATTTGAAACAGAAGACCTAGGTCTAGGTCTGAGTTTTCTGTTACATGAAACCTAGGGCAAATCAATCTCTGAAACTTATTTCCACATCTTAACTACTCCACATCTTAACCTACCTGTATTACTGGATTGTGGTGGGATTAAAAGAGAAAAACTAAAATTGTAAACAACGTAAAATATAAAAATAAATGTAAATTTTAAACAATGTAAAATGTAAATAGTTACATAAATAGCTATAATAGTAAACTTTTGCTCAGAATTTTTAAAAAAGTTATTTTTTTAATCAAGTTGTAACAGACTTTCTAAAACTGGTTCAATCCCAAAGCTGCCAATTACAGTCTTACAGATGTAACTACACAATTTCAGGGGTATCATTCACATAGATCATGATGTCAATGGTACCCCCTGAAATTGTGCAATGAGGCAACCCTATCCAGGCCCCGCATTTTATTAATAAGAAAACAAAAAGATTAGATGCTCTTACCCTAGTCCTGGAGAAAAATGAGGAGTAGGAGCCAGATTTTTGAGGTCTTAAGACTACTTCAGCCCTCCAATTTTCAGTATCCCTCTGCCATCAATTGCTCAGACATCCAGATGAAGCTTGGGAGCTAGCATTCATTCTCAATGATTCTCCTGACTACACACAGAAATGAAGTCTTCTCCCCTCTCTACTGCTACCTTCTCCAAATGCAGTCAATCCCCTGCCCAGCAATACCTCCATGCTAAGCTGTATTCAAACTTCCTGCCCCAAATCTAAAATAAGGTATATAAATAATAATGTCTAAAGGGGAATAAAACCCATTCATTCCTCCACCTCATCCACTTAAGCTATAAAGTAGCTATTTTCAGATCTAACATAAATGGAAAAGGTAGCAAAAAAACTAAAAATGAAAAAAAGGCATACGAAAACAGAAAAAAAATAGAAAGATCAAAAGTGAAATGCAAAGAATTGTTAAAAACTTCCAAAATTTTAGCTCAAACTCTCTCTAGTATTTTGCAAAAACAAAAGGAAAAATTTACTAAGAAAACAATGAAGCATACATACCTATGAGTAGAATAATCCTTAGTATCAATGGTATTCCTTGGATTTATCTGCTGAGAAACTGATGGATCTGTTAATATTTCTAATTGCTTGCAGAGCATCATGTTACTTTGACTAAGTTCTTGAATCAAATTTTCAAGTTCACGATATATGTCCCAATGCTTCCTTAATTCAATTTCATACGATAACTGTAGAAGTTCAAATGATGCCTTTTGTTTTATTAATTGATTTAAAACTAACTCTTGTCTTGCTGTGTAATAATCTTGTTTAGCAATCTGCAGATCAAAATCTCCCTTTACCACTGGCATATTCAATAACTGGGCATTCTCTCTTACCACAGCAGGTAAACTTCTGTCTTTTATTTGAGTGATCTGTTCTTCAAGTTTCATAATCTCACTGGTCAAGCTAGAAATTTTAGCATCTAAATTTTCTTTGTCCATAGCCTATACAAAGAAAAGCAATCACATTTCAAACTGTATGCCTAAATTTGAAATCATCTTAAGATTATTTTCACTTTCCACTTTGGGTGACCAGATAATAAGCTCAATGAATGAAAACTAATTTAATATTCATATAAACCAAAATTACAGTTTAAAAGGGAAAAATGTGGACTAAATCAAGGATATGAATTACTAAATTTTACTGCTATTACTACCATATATATAGTAATGACTACCAAAATAGAGATCTTATTATACTTGTTTTACTCAATCAAAATCATTATTAATAGCACACTATTCACTGAATCCAAGTGTATGTTACTAGTTTTTCTTAAGTTAAAATTACCTCAATAGGTCCTAGTCAGCCAGCTGATTTTAGCACTTCTACATAACCATTGGATTTCCTATATTATTCCAGTTTTTTGTCAGCTATAGAAACTAACCTGGTGCTGATATTCAGATTCAGAAATGTTACATTTTTTACTCAAGTATCTAGCAGTTATATTACCAAGAAAGCAAGCTCTCCGAGAGTGCAGACAGACATGTGCAATACATCTATCCATATATTCTCAAAAAGAAATCAGTTTCAGTCTACTGAACTTGGACCTCTGACTTCATTAGCACTATGCTCTGGTTGGAGCAAATGAGGCAGAATACCCAAAATAAAGCAATTAGTTTCTAGCCACATCCTAAAAAGAAAATTTCAGTCCAGTCTGTATCTGCATTACACAAATTTAAAATTCAGAATGCAAATTAAAGCACATTTAAAATAAACTAGATAATGTGGTTGAGATAATTACTATTGCTGCCCTCCATTAACATACGGATCTATTTGTATGAAACACTGACACAGATCACAAATAAACACTGAACAATGAGAAAATAAAATGTAATCTCTTATTAGATGCCCCATTCTGAAGTACTTCAATAGCAACTGAAGTACTCTATTCCTAACAATAATTACAATGTGAATCCAATCTCATTTCTTATGCTTACCTTGCTGGTTAGGCTATGAAGATTCTCCTCTGCCCATTTTATACTTGACTTCATGCTTGAATTACTTGCTTTCAAGTGAATTAATTGATGTTGAGCACAAATGTACGCCAGCTGCAGTCTAGCCATCTCTAGTCGTCTCTCCTCAAGGATTTCTTGATTATCACAAATAGATGGTGTCTGTATATCTAAAAGCTGAAAATTGTCTTCATTTGAACTTTCAACTACTTCATGTATACCCTGAAAGAACTGTTTTTTGGTATACAAAGTTAATGCTGCTGTGCTTTGCTCTTCCTGACTTAGGTATTTTTCCAAGGAAAATTGCGATAAAAATACCAGTGGATTTGTTCCTTGACCTAAATTAGAATGTCTGAAGAACATCATCAATTGTGTAACTTCATCAGTAAGAGCCTGAAGTTCATTACTGATCTTAGTATTCATTGCATTTAGAATTCCTTGACTCTGCTTCAGTTTTTTAGTGGCTGATTCTTCTTTAGCATTTAACCTCAGAGATTTGTGGCTAGTTACTGAAGCCATCAATTGACATTTATTACGCCGCTGAATTTTTAGGTTCTTTAATTTCAGTAGAGTTTGAACCTCATCCTCTAATTTCTCCAGCTCTTTGTCATCCAGTCTAGGTGTCTTCAAATCAGAAGTTTTACACGTTTTAAGAGCTTCATCCAATGCCGCCCCTTCTAGGATGGGCTTGCCTGATTTCTGAAGAACGCTAAAAGCTTCCAATTCTCTTTCAGACAACACATTCTGTTCATTCACATTCCCACAAAACCACTTCAGAAACGATTCATCTTCAATGCCCTCAAACAACCAGTCAAAGTCTTCTCCATTAAGATTATCAGCTTTGGGAAAACCAATTTTTTTTAATGTTTCCACAAACTCATTTCCACAACTCATGGTTTAACTACCCCAATTTTGTTGTATCTGATATGGGTTTACGGTGTTGATTTTTAGAAAATAAATCCAAATAGAAAAAAGCTACGTTTTATACCAAGTCCACAGAGAAGGGAAAATCTATTTTTAGAATCTATAATGATTCCTCCTGGGGGGAAGAAAACAAGTATTAGACCACAAATATGACGAGTGTTTTCAAAAAGAAGACACAAATATCACATGATATCCGAGAGCAGGATAATTGACAGACAGTCGTAGCTGCAATGTTTGATGATGATAAAGAGAAACAATTAGGCTAGTTCTCAGAAAACCCCAAAAGTAACGAAAATTAATTAACAAGAAAGTGGATCTATTTGGATCCACTTTATCGTTTTTTCCAAAGATAAAATGGTTTAAAATGCATTACTCTTTATAGAGCAACGTTTGTTTTTAATTCAAAATAAACGGATCCAAACAAACCCAAGTCACCAGGAGGCTAGGCAGCCTCTCTTCCCTGCCCTCCATATGTAAGAAAACGCAAGTAAGTATGGCACATCTTCTGAAGAATCAACTATTTACCTCAACGACTCGTCGGGCAAGGCTCTAACTCCAGAGGCCACTACCGCGGCGCGGAGACCAGCAGGAGCAGCAGGGAAGCGCGCGGCCACAATTAAGGGCGCTTCGGGCCGGCCTTCAGCCAGCGCTGAGGCAGCCGCGACGCCGGGGCCGCGCGAACCTCAGAGGCGGCGTCAGGCCCAGGAATCCGCGGCCCCGAGGCCGCGATACACCTGACGCGCCAGCGGCAAAACCTTCCTTCCGAGAGTCACCCAGCTGTGACACCTAAGCACGCTAACAGAACAAACGCAGAAGCCCACCGAATCGCCGTCGACACTGAGCAGCAGACACCGGGGTGACCGGCCCTGCGCAGCCCCCGCCCCAGCTCCTCGTCCCGCCGACCGGGCCGTGATGCCCGGGCAGCTGCCGGAGCACCTGGAAGGAGTCCCCAGAAGCGCAGGAAAAGAAGAGGCAGCAGGGTGCAGTCGGGGATCGCGGCCACTCCTCCAGTCCCACACCCCGGCGCCCAGAACCGAGGCCCGCGTCAGTCACCTGAGGAAGCTCCACTAGCTTCTCACAGGAACCCGCCGCCACCGCCCTCCGTAACCCGCGCGCCTCGCACTGCCTGACGGGAGCGCCTGGACGCGCGCACGCGCACGCGCAAGGCGGTGGCGTGGTCGCGGCGATGACCGTTTGCGCAGACGTGGTGTCAAAAGAGGCGGAGTCGGCGAGGCTGGACTATGGGGTGGAGCTGAGCAGGCGGCGCTCCGCCCCCGGCCGCGGCGAGCAACCTGCCTCCTGGGCGGGGCGCAGGACAGAGAGAGGCGGGGTCTCGGCCGGGCGGGGCGGGGACAGGGTCCAGGCAGGGGCGGGGCCTGGGCAGAGGGCGGGGCCTGGGCAAGGACTGGGGTATAGAGGAGTGCGGTGGGGTATAGTGGGGCGCCCTCTGCGGAGCGGAAGCTGCGGGCCTGCTCTCAACGGAGCCGTCAGTTGTGCTTCAGGCCTGCCCTGCCCCGTACCTCAATCTAGACCCTCTGAAGGCACTTTTGAGGGGTACAAAGAGAAGCACAGGTTGGTGATTGGGAGACAGGCTGGAGCCCGGCGGTGATAGCGCCGGCCCCCGAGAGAGTCGAGTTCCCACATCCACAGCAGCCGGAGCAGTGCCTGGTACATTTTAAGGGTTAGGGATTGTTCGCTTAGAATCTTTTACAATGAACTTTATTTTGCAAAAGCACTTAATTCCCAATCCCTCACCTGACCACTGTGTAAAAGCTGACTTCTGGCCGGGCGCGGTGGCTCATGCCTGTAATCCCAGCACTTTGGGAGGCCGAGGCGGGTGGTTCATGAGGTCAGGAGTCCGAGACCAGCCTGGCCAAGATGGTGAAACCCCATCTCTACTAAAAAATACAAAAATTAGCCGGGCGCGGTGGTGGGTGCCTGTAATCCCAGCTACTCGGGAGGCTGAGGCAGAAGAATCGCTTGAACCCAGGCAGGCGGAGTCTGCGGTGAGCTGAGATCATACCGCTGCACTCTAGCCTGGGCGACAGAGCAAGACTCCGTCTCAAAAAAAAAAAAAAAAAAAAAAACAGCTGACTTCCTCCACAATTCCATTTTCAAAATGTTAGAAATGAACTCACATAAACGGAGTGGCCTGAGTTAAATACAACGATGTATTTAACTCAGGGAGGATGATACACTATTTCCAAAGAGGATGGCAGTCAGTGAAAGATGACTGAAACGGGACTGCTAAATTTCATGCGAATCTGGCTGATACCCTACAGCCCAGTGAAACCAGACGTCTCTGTTGGACAGAATTCGTTTGCATCTCTACCAAACAAAAATCCTTTGCCACTCCTCAGTCTTCCACAGGTTAGCAGGGGCTTTGGTCATGGGTAAATATAATGGTACTCCCTCCCTTCAGCTTCAAATGACCCTAAAGGTGGCTTGTTAGACAATGTTCTAGTCCAGGGTGACTAGGTAGAAGTCGTTTGGATAGTTTTTCTTAACATTTTTCAGGAGAGAAATAAGAATGTTCTAAGGCAAATATTGTAATCTGATAGAGTCAAAGATTTTCCTATTCATTCTTCACTTGTTTTACATTTTTATCCTCCTCTTTTAAAAGTCAATGAGGCCTAAAATGATCTGAAAAACAAACATGACAGGAAAAAATTCAGAGTGGTGCCCAATCTGCAGGCAGGGAAACCAGGGATGCTGGAACAGGGAGGTCTGGTGGGAGGACCCCTGCAGCCCAGGGTTGGAGGTCAGGGGGTGTGCATCAGGAGACAGAGTTGAGCCAGTTTGGACAGAAGGAAGTGGGAGCTGTGCAGGCAACGCCTTCCAGAAATGTTGCTGATGAGGCAAAGACTGAGTGGGAGGAGCGTGACAGAGAGAAAGAGAGAGAGAGAGAGAGAGAGAGAGATACAGAGAGACACAGAGAGACAGAGACAGAGACACAGAGAGACAGAGACACAGAGAGACAGAGACACAGAGAGACAGAGACAGAGAGACAGACACAGAGACAGAGAGACAAAGAGAGACACAGAGAGACAGAGACACAGAGAGACAGAGACAGAGAGAGACAGACACAGAGACAGAGAGACAAAGACAGAGACACAGAGAGACACAGAGACAGAGACAGAGAGACAGAGACACAGAGACAGAGACACAGAGAGACAGAGACAGAAAAACAGAGACAGAGACAAACACAAAGAGACACAGACAAAGACAGAGACAGAGACACAGAGAGAGAGACAGAGAGAGACACAAGAGACAGACAAAGGAGAGAGAGAGCATGCAAAACGACACAAGCTGAGGGGGTGGGAATGCAGGGCTGAGGGGGAGGATTTTTTATTTTGTTTTGTTTGAAAATGAGAGAAACTTGGGGATATTTATAGACTGCAAGGAGGAACTCTGAGGAGACAGCATTAAAGATGGCAGAAAGACAAGGGGCTCCTTTATAGAAAGAGATCCCTGGAGGGCAGGAGGGGTGCACTCCAGAGCCCTGGAGGCCGTTCTAGAAACCCACTTTCCTAATGACTCCTGGGTGGTTTCTTGGGCCACAAATTAATTCTCCATCTGATTTTGAATTGCTGACCATAGTTATTTGTTGCAAAGGTGCTTACGAGACCATAAAAGCCATAAAAACATTAAGTAAAAATTACGACAGTATCAGCCCCTAGAGTACAAACGACAAACACAATAGGTTTAGCTATACAGACATGGAAAGTTTTCTTCAGCTTGCCTTGGGAATTTAAGAAAGCAAGTATGTTACACTTATTTCCAGGGTAAGCTTTCTTTTCAGCAGTCAAAATTATTTGGAGTTTTAGTAAGGTCAAAAGATAAACGGAACCCAGGAATTAATCCTCCCTGAGAAAGCCCATGAGAATATAATGGACTAAACAGACCTAAAGACAGAGCTGTGAGGATCAAGTGTTTTTGCTGTTTGCTTTTTCTCCTTCCTGTGGAAGCGATTTTCTCCTATTAGTATTTAAAAATATTTTAGGTTTTGGACAATATCATACTATTTTTAAACTTTAGAAGTAACAGATGCTAAAGATTATTTGTTTTAGATGTAGTTTTCCATGAATTTTGTGGGACTCTATTCTGCAAGCAATGGAGAATGGGGGGTGTTTTCAAGCAGGAGAGTGAATTCTCAGATGGGTGTTAGAAGCCTAGTTCTGCAAGACCAAAAATGACAAAAGGTGGTAAGAGACAAGATACAGGACCACTCTTGCAGCATGTAGGAGAGGAGGAGAGAGCTGCACAGAGAGAGCTGCAGGAGCTGGCAGAGCCTGGGGCCTGATGACTAACCTGGGTCCGGGAGACTCTGGGGTTTCCAGCTGAGCAGGGAGTGGCATTTCTTCCTATTCTTCCTACTAATCCTTCCTATCAAGAAGAAAGTAGAAGACCATAGGGTTGGGAAAGTTTGTTTTCCATCCTGTTGACATTCATGTGACAAAGTGAGAACTCAGTCCCCAAACTCAGGAGCAGGTTTGGGTCAGCACAAGCCCAAAGGAGGTGACAGAATTCATTCACCAAGGTGGCCATGTGGAGAGGGCCTTTGAAGTGGGGAGGAATGGGGACCACAAGGGCTGGCAGCGGAGACTGGGACTGGTGGGGTGTCAGAAAGGGCCTCAGGACAGGAGGAGGAGTTGTGAGCCCCTGAGGCTCAGCAGGTCAGTGGCATAACCGTTTACATTCTAGAAAGATCCCCATGAGGCTGGAGTGCATGGGGCTGACCTGGCCAGCAACTAGGAAAGGAGGAAGGAGTAATGTGAGAAGGTCCTGTGGCGATTAGCCCAGATGATTCCAGCACCTAATTTGGGTGGCCATAATTCAGCAAAAATATGATGGGAAGGGATATAGGGGGCTCAGGGCCCACTTCCCAGAGGAGGTTGTGCCTGAGCTGGTGAATGCAGGGAGCAGGTGGGAGTGGGGGCTAAAGTCAGTGCAGGGGTGGGCCGAATTGAGCTGAAGGACAAATGGCGGTGTTTGGGTTTAATCCGGAGGCCATGGGGACCCAGAGGAGGACTTTAGGGAGGTGAGCAAGGAGACCTTTGAGGTCATTCAGGCTGCCAAGAAGAGGGTGGGTGGGAGGCTGCAGGCAGGTGTCCTATTTGTAGGGGGACTTGCTGTAATGCAGATGTCCTACTTGGAGAGGGACCTGCTGTAACCCAACAAGCACAAAGATGGAAAACAGAGATGGACTCTGCTGGGAGAATCAAGGGCTTCCCAAAGGACAGGGATCCTGTCCCAGGTATCCCACCCTCCAGCCTGGTGAGCAGGGGAGGGGTGCATCTCCAAATCTCAGTGTGCCACCTGTGAGAAGGGCCCAGCATGATGATACCAGGTATCAATCATACATGGAACTGGGCACAGCCCCTGGCACCTGCATGCCCTCAATAGAAAACGGTAGTGGTGATCCCAAATCATAATATTTGGGATTTAAATGTCCACATTTACATGAATGACCAAATCCTGGTGGCTCTGAGGCCCCAGCCACATTCCCGGGAGGAACTGATTTCTTTCCTGGGGTGCCCCCACTAATGACCTCGAGGGCTCCTGGGGCGCACACAGGTTCAACGATCCAGACTCTCCTGCTGGGGGTTGGGGGAGCTCAGATTCCTCCGAGGCCCCCGGCAGGTACCCTCCATGGCCACCCCACAACCTGCTGGCGGGTCCCACTGGGCCATCTCCAGTGCATAGCTGCCATGTGCACAGTGTGGCGACTCCACACTCAGGAGCCCCCGTATGACCACCCAGCTCCATCAATTCTCCAGCACTCAAGGCAGGCATGTCCTCTCAGCTGCCCATTGGTTGGGCCCCCCAGGACTCCTCCCTCTGCACCAGGGTAGCTGGGCCCACACCACCCCAACCCTGGCCCGGCAGATCAGAGGTCTCTGCTTCCAGGGGTGTTCCCTCCAAAAGGCCTCCCTGGGGGGGAGCAGGCAGCCAGCCCGGCTTGCTTGGGTGAGAGCAAGACCTCTTCTCCCCACTGCGCGAAGTCTCATCACCTCACAACCACCACATGATGGGCACGACAGGAGCCTGTGTCTCCACGGTCACCACCGGCACAAGGGGATGGCTGGCCATGCCATCTCACTTCACCTCAGCACGGCAGGTCCCCATGACACGAAGCAGAAGCCATACCCAGGTAGTTCTGGGCACAGGTGCAGGAGGATTCTCACAGTGCAGCCTCTATGCAGGGGGTTCCTGGCTGGCATGGAGCACCCCAAGGGGTAGGCTGTCCTCAGCCAGCAGGGCCCCAGCACAAGAGCCAGAGGCAAAGTCCCAGTGCCTCTGGGACAAGTTGGCCAACAGGCCTGTAGGGGAACCTGCCTCAAACCCGCCTTCACCCAGCTCCAGGTGCCACAGCATCCAGGGAGGCAGCTGTGATGGTGGGCCCGGTGTGGTTGGCAGCAGGGGGTGACGTGCTCCGTCAGGCCTCCCAGAAAAGAGGCTGTGGTAGGGCAACGAGGGCCACGGCCCAACGGCCACACAGTGTGGTGCCACTGGGTCAGGCTCTCTGCTTGGAGGCCGAGAGCAGGGCGCAAAGCATGGTGACGGTGACAATCACAGAAAGAGCCGGAGCCAGCAGGGTGAGATATAAAAATCTGTATTTATATTACAATGACATAAGGACACAGCATGGCCCACACGGTGGACAGGTGGGCGGGGGCCCCTTTCCCCTCTAGCGCACACCCCCCTCACCGGCACCAGGCCCTCGTGTGGCCCGACTCTGGCACGGAACCTGCCCTAGTGCCCAACATGGACCTGGGGCCACACTGCTAGCCCAGGGTCAGGGTCCTCTGTGCAGGCAGTGGGGAGAGGGGTCCCAGGTTCCCTGACAGAGGGAGGCAGGGCACGGGGGAGCCTGCCTTGCCCAGCAGACGGCATGGGCTGGGGCAGACAGCAGAGTGGGGCCCCCAGGGCCACAGACCAGTACAGGGCTCCACCACCCGGGGAACACAGGCCCAAGCACTGTGCCACTAAGATGGGGTCTGCAGAGGCAAAGCCTTGCTGCAGCCTTTTCCCCTCTGTGAGGATGGCGGGGGTCTGCTATGTGGTATGCGGGAGCTGCCTTCCAGTAAGTCTGGGGAACCCAAGCCTGAGTCCGGGTGCTCAGTGGCCGAGAGCACCGGTGTGGGCTGGGAGGGCACACGCAGAGGCTCAGGAGCCCCCGGCGCTGTTCTGCTCCTGTCTGCTCTCTCTAGACACGGTGATGGCCTCTTGGTCCCTGCAGCCTCCAGTGATGGCAGCCTGGGCCCCTGGCAGGGAGCAGTGGGAGGTTTGAGCATATGGTGACTCCCAGCACCAGCCCCCACCCAGTGGGCCACCCTTCACCCACCTGCTGGTGGCAGGGAGGGGCAGCTGAACAGCACCCCGGGTGGCTATGAGACTGCCTCCCAGTCCACGTGGGAACCACGGCCTCAAGAGCCACAGGCTGAGCTGCTGGGAGGGTCGGCTGAGGGGCCACCACTGGTCACTGGGTGGATTCTGCTGGTGAGAGATGAGAGCAGAAGCCCCCCAGCTGCCCCAGGCACTGGAGGGTGGGGCAGGGAGCTGGTGCTTCAAGAATTGAGGGCAGGGACATGACCACCTCAGGGCCCTGGAGTGCTGGCTGGGGAAGCAAGGTTTTGCACACGGCCCGCCTTGCTCAGAGGTGCCGCAGTGTTTGAAATGAAGCCTCGGGGGGACAGAATCAGGCAGGCAGGGGAAGCTCCTTTCTGGGTGCCCCTGGCCCCCAGTGGGGCCGGAAGGAGATGCAGACAGGCCTCCTCACAACCACCCACAACGCGTTCCGATGCCCCTCAGCTCCAGGCACCACACCCCCTATGGCCTGCAGGGCAGGTTCTGTACCAGAGTTGTTTCCAGGGACCCCCTTCCATCACAAAGGGCCCCCAACCCTGGGACATCTATGCCTATGACTGGAAATAGACACAAATTTTTCCCATCATATGGAAATTGGCTAGAGATGCACCAGAGGCATGGCAGGTACTGCTGTGGGCCGGCCCCAAGGACAGAGGACGTCAGGAAGGAAGGGTGCAAGCCTCCTGGTGCCAGGCCTGCACCACCCAGTGAGCAGTCTTCATTGGCTGCCAGTGTCTGAAACCTGGAGCCCTCACTTAGACCAGGAAGCAGGGGGCTCGAGTCAGGTGACAGGTGAGAATCTACCTCTCTAGTGAGCAAGCAGGCCCCTGCCAGCTGCTGGGGAGGGCAAACACTAGGTCCCTCCATGCCACCCACAGGGGCCTGGCTGCATCGCCCCCAGGAAGCCCTGGCTGCTGGGAGGGGCTGCCCACAGGAGATGGGAGGACAGCACTAGTTGGGCAGGCCTGGGGCACCCTGAGCCATGAGGGACATGCTGGTGGGAAGGGCAAGGCCAGACACAAGACACAAGGCACACTTTGACGACATGACAGAGGGACAGGTCCCTGAGACGCTGGGTGGCTCCCACCCCTCAGCAAACAAGGACACAACAATGGCTAGGAAAATAGAGTACAAAAATCTGGTACAGGAAACAGAGGCGGCACACACGGACGTCCCTTGGCCGAGAGTCTTTAGGCTTTCTTTTTTTAAAACATGGTTGTTTTTTTGGGGGAAGCCTCTCTGCCCGCTGAGGCTGCCGCAGCAGAGCTCGTAAAGAGCCCTTTCCTAAGGTGGCTCCCGGAGCCTTCACTGGGCTGCTGGGCAGTGCAGCATTTTACTTTTTTGCTTTTTGTTTAAAAAAGGGAGATGAGTAAGCCCCCGAGGACCCAGTGGCTGCAACTTTTACCAGCCTCCAGCTCACCCCAGCCCTAGCCAGGAAGAGATGCCCCCCTCCTATGCAGACAGGCAAGCACGATGGGTGGGCGTGGGTGAGCGGGAGCTGGAGGGGGAACCAGGCACAGCCCAGGGGCTGATGTTTGCCAGATGACCCTGAAGGCCATCATCCCCAGAACAGGTGACCTCGGGGTGCCCAGGTGTGTCTGCGTGTGTGAGCATGTACATGAGTGCGTGTACCTAGGTGCGTGCGTGTGTGCGTCTGACAGTCCTACCAGAGCAGACGCTGCCCAGCTCGGTGTGGGCTGGGCTGGCCTGGCCTGCCCCGGGAGCCCAGCCCTAGGTTCTGACACCTGCGACGTGGGAAGGACCTGGACCACCCACCTGCCCCAGGTGCTCACCCAGGTCCCGCCCTTCACAGATCCCTCGTCCACGCTAGGAGCCTATGTGGACTGATGGGTAGGTGGACAGATGGACGGATGGACAGACAGCCTTGCCTTCCTTCCTTCCTCGGTCCACTCCTTTCTCCTGGGATCCAGGGTTGGGGTCTGAGCTCCCTGTGGTGGTCATTAAGCCCCTCACACGGCACCTGCCGAGGTTTGCAGCAATGATATTTAATACTTCTGGAATGATTAGGAATCTGAGAACAGACCGTGGGCGGCTATGCTGACCAGGGCTCCGGACGTGGAAGCTGGGCCCTGCCTCCTTGCAGGGGACTCTGCCCAGCTGAGAGGGGCAGGCAGCTCGGCAGGCCCTGACCGGCAAGCGGGCAGTGCCAGGCAGCCCAGGCGGCAGCTGGAGCTTCCAGAATGGCACAGCAGTGGGCCTGTGGAGAGGCTGGCGTCAACTGAAGGAGAACTGGAGGGCTGACACGCGTGGCTGGCGAGCAGGCAGGCCAAGGAGCAGAGGGCACGGGCCTACGAGAGGGCGGGGCGGCCCAGCCGCCGGCAGTGGGGCCCAAAGCCACTGTCGCCGCCGCTGCCACTCTGCAGGCTGTAGTGGTCGTCCGCGTCACTGCTGCTGCCAACACTGTCCAGCTCACCAGGGCCAAACTCCATGCCCTCTATGTCCACTTCTGGGGAGAACAGAGCGGGGATGGGGTCAGGCCACTCTAAAGGTGCCAGCCCATTTCTCCCTTTTCTGGAAGCAGAAGCTCTGGGCAGAGGAGCAGAAGTGCAGACGGCGCTGTCTGGGCCCTGGGGCAGCAGACGCCAGGAGGGCTCTGGCTAAGAACCCAGCCTCAGAAGCACCAGTCCTCAGCAGGCCATGCGGCCTCCGCATCCCACCCTCCCTGTCCAGTCCCTTCTGCACTTAGACGGTGACAAACACCCCAGTGCAGCAGGGAGCTGGGAGGGTTCTCCCCAACCCCAGCACCAGGAGCCTTCTCTCCACCCAGGGAGCTGTGCCACTGAGTGCCCGGAGGCCCAGGTGAGGCTGCCCCACGCCCCACCTTGCTCTGAGTCGTCCGTGGAGACGGCGGAGCCTGTGCTATCTGTGCGCACGCGCTCCACGCTCTGCACCGACAGCTGCTCCAGTCGCCGCTTCAGGAAGCGATGCTCCTGCTGCAGCTGCTCCTTGATGCTCAGTGCCCGGCGGTCCTGCTCCTCCAGTTTCTGCGGGCAAGGGGGACTGTGAGCCCACAGCGGGAAGGGGACTCCCCACTTCCCCCTGGCCAGGAACCGGGGCACCCAGGCCCAGAGGTTCCCTCTCCTTGACAAGACCTAGCCAGGCTATAGGCCACAGGGTGCCCAGTCTCTACCGGCCCCACAGCCTGAGGTGGATCCCTCCCTGTCCCAGCCAGGCGGTCACAGTCAGATGCCACCTCCCAGCCCTGTGGTTTCCATCTATGGCCCAGCTCTAATACCCGCAGCCACCAGGCAGCCTTGGTCAAGCTGAGCCATGTGTGGCCATGACACCCTGGGTCAGCACTACCCGATCTTTGGCTGGCACCTTCTCCAGGACAGTCCTGCTTCCAGCGGGTCTCCTCACACACTCCCAGCCCTGCCTGCCCCCGCGGGGCTGTGGCTTGTACCATGCCTATCTCTGCAACACCTGCGACCTGCCCTCTCTAAACCTTCCCGTGGGCCCCACTGAGACGCTGCTTGCTCTGTGAGGGCCCCCAGGGCTCTGGTTGTGCCCCTCTCAAAGCTCCTGCCACCCCAGCCTGGAGGTAGCCATGCCTATGCAGGCAGAGGCCCTCAGAGCAGACGGAGACTTGCCCTGGTTGGCCCAAATGTCACAAGGCCCCCAAACCGACAGGGCTGTCAAAAGTCCTTTGGGGGCTGCCCCAGGGAATGTCTCCCTCAGCCCCGACCTACTGCCAGCCCCCACTGCCCCAACCTCCACCCTGGCACCCCCACCAGGCTGCCTACTTTTAGTCTGCCTTCTGATGGCACCCAGGAAACCCTGCCCCTCCTGGCCTCTTCTCTCCTTCCTGGCCCGCTCTCTCCTTCCAGCAGCTGCTTCTTCACAGCCCAGGGCCCCAGGGAGCAATGTGTCCCCTGAACTCCTCCTCTCCATCCCAGCCTATGCTGCACTGTGGCTTCTTATGCCATCAGCACCCAACAAATGCAGCACAAGCCACGGAACTGCCTCGACCCCTTGGCAGCTTCTGTTGCTGCTCCTCCACCCTGGCAAAAACCACCAGGCCCCCAACACACACCCGCCAGATGGCTCCCCACCTACCTTCAGGCCCTCTGATCCAGGGGCCACCCAGGGTCCCCTGTGAGCACACCCCCAGGGCATGCAGGGACACCGAGGCAGCCGGACAGGGCAGGGTGGAGTGCAAGGCCCACTCACCTTGATGTGCACCTTGGCCCGCTTCAGGAGGCTCAGCGTGGTGTGGCGGGTGCTGTCGGGGCCCAGGGGCACCAGCTGCTTGAGCTGCTCCAGGTACAGCCTGAGTTTGGCTCGTCTGAAAGAGCCAGAGACAGAACCATCAGGTTGGGGTGGCAAAGCCCATGGGGTGAGAGGTCTGGGGGAGGGCAGGAGGCAGTTTGCAGGGCCCTACACAGACCCATCGTCACCATCCACTGCTGCAGATGTGCTGAGGGTCCCTCTCTGAGGATCCCCTCCTGGCCTGGCTGGGAACTCCCCCCGCCCCCAGGAGCAGCCCAACACCCACAGCCCCCAGACACCCGGCAGAAGCGCCCAGTTCACCATGGCCTGCAGAGCCTCAGTGTGTCACCACCAGGCACTGCCCAGGAGCCCCAGCTCGCCCCCCTGCCATCCCCCATCCCCCATCCCCCATCCCTGCCCTGGAGTCCTCATGCAGGGCAGGGTGGGGTAAGGCGAGGGTGCTGTTCAGGCTGCACCCAGAGATCTGGAGAGACCCAGACAAGATTTATGTCTCTCCACCTCATCGTGCACAACGTGCTGTCACTTTTGTGACCATGGAAACATGATCAGCCTAGGTCAAGGGAGGGCCAGGACCAGGCCCTTCCAACCCAAGTTTCATATCCCCTTGGAAACCGCCTCATTCGAGAGTCTGTCCCTGTATCCACAGATGAATCCACTTTTCACAGAACTGGAGCCATGACACCCAGTGGTGCTTGCTTGTCTGTTCACACTCAAGGCACTTGCTCACATGCTACAATCCTCCAGGACACATTCATCGGGCACCTTGCGAGAGGGGCCCTGGCTTCATCCTAGGCCTGCCCCTGCGGAAACACCGCCTTCCCAGCTGGCCTGCTTGTCTGCGGGGGAGGATGGTGGAGCTCACGGGGTGCGGGGAGTCCAGCTCACCCAGAGGCCTGGGACCCTGGCCATACCCACGTGCACCTGCCTGGCAGTGCAGGGCACCAGGAGGTTTTGTCATTGCCATGTTCAACCACAGACTCACCCATCCCGTGCAGGCCGCAGAGTCTGCTTCCAAATATAGGACACTTTGCTTTGGGTAAATCCTTATGAGTGGAATGACCAGGTCAAGGGGTAGGAATACTTTTTGAATTTTTGAAAACCTGCCGCCCAACTGCCCTGCCACAGCTGATGCCTACACACGTGACTTTCCCCACATGGCGCCAACATTGAGCACCCCAGCCCTGGCATGTCTGCTCCTGCTGTTCCCAAGCCCAGCAAATCTTGTCCCCCCGAGAGTAACGTGCGCAGAGGCAGCCATTTCCTTTGGACAGAGGAGGAGACTGAAGAAGGAGGGGGCTGCTGGGTGCAGCGGTTAACAGCTGCACCAGTCGGAAGGTCTGCCTGGAGGTGGCCTGAATGGGGCCAACATCCTCAGCATCTCCCACGCTGCCTCCCGTGCACAGGTGCAGGGAAAGGGGTCCCAGGCTGCCACTACATGACGACCCCAGTTCCTGGAAGCTCAGCCTCCCCACCTCCAACAGGAGCGAGCGCCCTGCCACCCCCCAACCCAGGAACTGTGCAGCCAAGAGGCCGAAGGGTGCTCTCTGCTCAAGGAGGGGCCTTTCCCGAGGCACGTTGCCAACATACTACAGCCACCACTGGGACTAGGTTTGCAAGTGGGGGCGTTGCCAGGGGCCTCCTTCCCTGGTCCACTCTAGCAAACGGCTTTCCAACCCACCGTGTAATTACATCAGCACTACATGACCTCTGCAGAACAATTTTAAAATGCAAATCAACTTTAAAAGGAAAAAAAATTAAAAGTACCCCCAAACTCCACCACCCCAAAACAACCTCATTATCATTTTAGTGTGTTACACATGCACATCTTGAATGTTAAGTGAAAAAATTAGAATCCGGAACCACATAGGTGACAAGTGACCCAATTTTGTTTAAAAAATAAAAGAGCAGACGCACACGAGAGACGACAGAACAAAACGAGGCACAGGGAGCGTGCGTCTCCAGGCGATGAGCCTGGCAATTTTATTTCTTTAGCTTTGTACTTTTCTGTATTTTCCAGGTTTTCTATGCTAAAAACACACACACACACACACACATTGCTGTGACAATCAGAGAAAGACACGTTTGCACAAGAAAGAAAAACACAGCTAAGAAACAAATAACAAGTAGAAAAATCTTTGCAATACATATAAAAGACAAATGGTTAGTATTCGTGGTATTTTGAACTCATACACATCAAAAATTAAAAGCAGAATGCCTCGACGTCACAATGGGCGGAGGACACAAACAGGCTGCAGGACACGAGGGCCAACCTAACCTAATGCCCGGCTCCATCTCACCAGAGCCAGGAAATGCACACGCAAACAAGGAGGTACGACTTGCACCCTCTGACGGGCTGATGTGAGAAGGGATGGCTCCTGCGCCAGCCAACTCGAGGGGTCGTTGATGGTTTGCTGGTGGGAGAGCAAAAGGGGACACAGGTCTGAAGGGCCATCGGCACATTTATCACTGACCGCCATCCAGCATCTCTACTTTTAGGGCCTTGGTCCTACAAAACTATCCCCCCAGATTCGCAAAGGTCTGTGCTCACCAAGGCACATCGCAAGACCGTCCAGAAGTCCCTGTGTTAACCAGAGGGTCATCACTAAGAACGCTGGTGGCACAGCCAAGCGCCCTGTGCAGTCATCGGGGATGAGCAGGTGGAGGAGTGTGCCCTGACGCAGGTGGACAGGACTTACGTACGTGGTATCAGGTGAAAGATCAAGTGAGGAAATGGAGAACAAGGTCCCCTCCTTATCCAAGTCTCATCGGCAATGTTAGTGCCCGCGGGGAGCAGAGGAGGATGTGGCTCAGCCTCCGAGTGCCTGGGATGCGGTCTCTGGGGTGGGGTGCAGGGGAGGTCCGTGAAAAGACCGCTTTAGAAATCACAGAACACCTTTCTCGAGAGACAAACAGAAGCCATCTGACCACATACACGCACTGTCCAAGCCAATAACAGGTCCACCTGGCCCAGGAGGGCAGGCACCAGTGCTGGAGGCCACAGAAATTCCTGCCCTGAGCAGTGGCAGTGGCCTGGAGCCAACTCTACCAGCGGCTGGTTGTGGGACCCCAGGAAGATCCCCACCAACCCCTCTGAGCCAGGAAGCCCCCTGGCCCAGGGCTGCACTGGGATCCCACTGAGCCCTCCCCTCCTGAAGCCGCTGCAGTGCCCTGGGCCCCCTGCCAGCACCCCACGGCTGTCCCTGGGCATTCAAAGGGCTTTTAAAACCCCCACTTCCTGAAGGAACCCTGTGTGGATTCAGGAGGCAGAACCCGCCTGCAGGACTAGCGCGCTGGGCTGGTATCCACAGCAGCCCCACCTCTGACGCAGCACTTTCCAGCTCCCCCAAAAACCCCAAACCCAGAGGGGGACCCAGGGCACCGAGAGGGCATGGTTCCACGCCAGCGTCCCAGCCAACCAGAGAACCTGGCTGCGGCTGACGGCTGACGGGGAGCTAGGGGCGGCCCAGGAGCAAGCGTGCCTCCCACTCCCTCTGTCTGCCTGCATTTTCTAGATGTTGCCAACAGAACTTCCCGAGGTACGTGAAGGCCGTGTGAGGCTGCATCAGCACATGAGGCTGGGCTGCAGGGGGCTCCTGGGGACCTCCCAAAACCTGGACATGCTTGGGGGAATGTGGGGCAGGGACTCAGCTGAGGACTCTGGACTGGCCTTTGGAATGGGCTCTGCCATCCAGGGGCTGTCAAGGGCCAGGAAAGAAGGCTGGGACCTTCCCCCAAAACACACTAAGACCATAACCTGGAGTAGGGCCAGTGAGGTCAGCAGCCAAGAAGGTGAGGCCTCCACAGTCCCCAGGACCCTGGGGTCGGCAACGATGCACCAGCCTCAGACCTGCTGAAGCTGCCTCTCTACAAAGAGAGGAGGAGCAGGGCTGGGCAGGCTTGGCTCAGAGCACCCACAAGGGGAAGTCCCATAGGCCCTGCCCAGTCCCCAATAAGGGAACACCTCCGGGCAAAGCAATGTCCAGGGCCTGCCTCCCGGGGATGGCTGGGTGGCCCAGCCAGGGGCTTCCTTCCTTCCTCAAGACAGCACACAGCCCTTCCTGCAGCCAAGAGCAGCTGGCATCAGGTAGGCTGTGATCCAGGGCCCCAGGCCTGTGAGTGCTTGGGGCTGTCCACATCTGCCTCTTGGCCAGCCAGAGACAGAAACCCCCTGCACTGGGGTGGAGGAGTCCACAGAGACACCCTGGCTGCCCACCCATCCCTCCTCTGTGTCTCAAGGCGGCTCCATGAGGCCCTGGCTAAATGCAGCCTCTGGAAAAAGAGAGCAGAGGGCAAAGCCAGGTCAAAGGGCAGCTGCAGGGGTCCCCTGTCCTCCCCAACAGCTGCCACATCCTTGCCACCCATCCTCCCCCAATGTCATTGTCCCTCAGTCTGTCCCCATTAGGAGGCTGTCCTCTGAGGGACTGCCTCCAGGAAGCCTTCCCTGAACACCCCCATGTGCCTGCCCCGGCTCCTGGGTCCTGGTCAAGGCTAGGCTGGTCTCCTTAGGCCTGGGAACAACTCCAGGCCTGCCTGGTTCTCTTGGGCCCTGTACCTGCCCCCACCTCTGTGGCCTCTAGGGAACCCCCCAAACACACATGACCTGTCCAGGAAGTGCAGTTCCTCAGAGAACACTGCGTTCTGTCCCTGCCCAGCTGCCCGCCCCAGCCAGCAGCCCGAATCCCAGGGGAACGGAAGTTGGCGCTGCTGTGGGGGTAGACATGGGGGGGAGGCGGAGACCTGGCCAAGCACCAAATCTTTCTAGAGGGGACTGGGGGGGCTCAACCAGCACACAGACCTGCCCCACCAGGAAGGGAAGAGCTGACCCATTTCACAGATGGGATCACAAGTCAGGAGGGAGCGATGGCCCAGCATCCTTCAGGGGAAACTTCCTCGTCCTAGCATGGGCGCTCCTGCCTCTAGGGCTGCCTCTGCACTCACCCAGGGCTCCCACTGCCAGCCCCTAGGCCACTGAGCTCACCTGCACCTCATCACCACCAGCAGAGCTGGGCCTGCAGCCCTAGCTGCCTCTGGCTGTCACCAGGGGGAATGAACACCCCGCAGCTTTACCCGAGGGCTCGCCTGAATCCTGCCCTGGGCCAGAGCTTCCCACACGGCCAGGGACTGGCTGCTCTTCATCTGCCCCTCGGACAAGCCTGTAGCACGGCTCCTTGGAAGGCAGACCCCAGAATGCACAGGGCAGAGAGCCGAACCCTCCTGACTGGAGACCACTGTTCTGAAAGCTAAGGGCCCTGACTGTCACATAGCACAAGGGGCCCTGCTCCACGTCTCTGACTCCCACTTGGATGAGCTCCGGAAAGCAGGGCCTGGGCCCCCCGCCATCTCCTGCCTCTAGCAGAGTGCCTGAAACAGACCTCAGCCTCCTCCTCCAAGCTTGACCCTTCCCAAGACAAGGACACACCCTAGCAGCACACTTGGCCATGCCCGGGACAAGGGGAGGCTCAGCGCACCACATACCCTCAGTAGAAGGGTGGGCCAGGTGCTGGGCTCATGTTGGGGGCTGGGGGGATCACTTACCTGTGCTTTTCTAGCTCGTTGTGTGAAGACCTGTTTAGGGAGACAGAAAGACAGAGCTCACTCTGCTGTGTGACCACCAGGGCACAGAGAACAGCGCCCTCCTCAGGGACCAGGACCTGCAGACAGTGGCTGGCTGTGTCTGGGTTCCGGAATGGCCCAGAACAGTGAGGGCTGGGACAGCTGTCCACCCAGGGTTGGGGGAACCACATGCTGAGGGTGGACACTGGTTGTCAGCTTTGGGTACTCCATGCTGGGGGAGCTTCAGCTCATGCCCTGGAGTTCTCCATGGGTCAGGAACCTGGTTTGGTGAGAAGCAGCAACAGGGGCTGGGTTTGCTCACAGGGAGGCCCAGAGATGCAGGCAGGTCCAGGGTTCCCAGGGCCACAAGCCCACCTAGCAAGGCCTGTGGGGAATCTGGCTGACAGGAGGACCCAGGCCTCCTTCCAGAGTGGTGGGGGAGGCCCAGGGAGCAGCAGCAGGTCCTGGCACTGACCCCTACTAACTACCTGCCTTCCCTGCTCCCCAATCCCTGAGGCCAGCTGTGTCCTTGGAGCCAAAGCAGCCTAGTACCTGGGACAAACAGCAGGTGGAGATGGAGCCCAGAGACCTGGCCCTCAGGACACGGGTGGTCCTGTCCTGACACCACCACTCTGTTGGGCTCACACACCTGCGTGACCACAGCCCACCTTACCAATGGAGACCAGGGACACAGCAGTGTCAGCCAGGTCAGCCCATGAGGGGGCTTCTGAGATGTGGCTGCTTCCCAGGCCAGTGGGCACAGTTACCTCGGGGGAAGTGCGTGCTAGCAGGATGGGCCGCCCTGGAGGCCCAGGCTCAGCCTCTCTGGGGACAGTGGCCTCACCTGCTGCTCACCTGTCTTGCCCATTCAGACACGGGCACACAACTCCGAGCACCACAGCAGGTGCCAGAGCATCTGCCCTGGAGGACAACGAGGCAGGGGGACCACGCTCCTAGCTCCAGGCCACCTTCTCAGTCCAGGCGGGACCCCACAGGCCAGCCAGGGCTCCCGGGCCTCCCGGGATGCTGCTGCACAGGTGGGCAGAGAGCTCAGACCACCTCGGGGCACCTCCAGACCCAGCCCTGAGGCCTCTCCTTGCCCTCAGGTCCTGGCTCCTTCCTGAAGTTTCTGCTGACCACTGCCTACTTCAGGAACTTGGGATCTGGCGTCTCCTGTCCCAACCACTCAGGCCAAGGGCCTGCCCCTCCCACTTGCTGCACCAACAGGCTCTAGGCCCCCCTGTGTAGCCTCAGCAGAGCCTCCAGACCCAGGTCTCAGGATCCTGGAGAGCCTGGTGGTCACATGGGCTGGACAAGGAGCCTCAAGAATCACTGCCAGGGCCAGCCAGGGCCGGCCAGAGCGAGCAGAGGCCACAGCCATATGCTCCTCACTGGCCTCACAGAGATGGGCCCCTGCGCCAGCCTTTCTGCCTCCCCAGAACAGGCAGGCCACAGGAATGAGCTGTGCTCTCTGTCCTCAGCCCAAACCGCAGCCTGGCCACATGGGTCTGTAGTCTGCCGGCTCAGAAGGAAGGTCAGAGTCAGCAGGTGCCCTTCAACGTAAAAGCCTACCTGCCTACCCCTTGAAGGGTGGCGTGGGACTGGACCCCACCCTGGAGGCAGGGGGCATTCCTCCAGCAGCCAAGGCCCCTCCTGCAGCTCCTCCTGGGCCCAGAGACCCTTGGGGCCCAACGAGGGGGATGTTTGCCACATGGGTCCCGGGAGCACTCTATCCCTCAGGAGAGGTGGGACCCATCCCCATTGAGGCTGGGCCAAGTGCATTCCCAGCACTCCCGTGACCCCAGGAGACAAGCACACTTTCCATAGAATGGACCCCCCTGCAGGCTGGCCCCAGTCCCCTGCCGCCTCCCTCAACCCTGACACTGTCCTCTGGCCCCACTCCCTACCTGTTGCCCCAGCCCCGCTGTGCCATGTCCCCTCCCTCACCCTGGCAGAGCATGGAAGCCTCACAGGTGGAGACAAGTCAAGGGCTCAGAGACCCTCTGGCCCCCTGCTCTGCCCAGCTACTTGTCTAGGCTGGCTGAGGAAAGCCTCCAGGGCAGCGCTGCCCATCAAGGAAGGGGCCAAGCCGCCAGCCCTGGGTTGCCTCAAGCCCCAGGGGAGCGGGGCTTGGCCCAAAGGAGCCAGGGGGAGATGCACCAGAGTTAGGGAGCCCTCTGCCTCCCTCACCGGTGCCCCCATGGTCTCTGTCCCAGCAGAATGTGGACAGCCAGGACCCCAACTCAGAACAGGCATTATCAGAGGTGGGTTATCAGTGGCAGGCAAGTAACCAAACCTCTGCTTGCCTCAGTTTCCTTGGCCATAAATAGAGATAAAAATCACATCGCCTCTCTGAGCCTGCGGTGAAGATGAACCGGCTGCGTGTGTGAAACGCTCAGCATAGAGGCAGTGTTTCGGCAGCCTTGACCAGGACGCTGGTTGTCAGCTTTGGGTACTCCACGCTGGGCGAGCCCCAGCTCACGCCCCGGAGTTCTCCACCGGTCAGGGACTTGGTTTGGTGAGAAGCAGCAGCAGGGGCCGGGCTTGCTCACTGAGGAGGCCTGAGGCAATGGTCCCCTCGTCACACTCCTGTCCTTCCCCAAACTGTCCCCAATAAGGGACCAGGGGCTGGGACTCAGAGACAGGTCCCAGCCAGGGCAGCAGGGGACTCAACCAATTCCTCGCCTGGCTCAGGACACCACAGAGATGGGTCCCTGCGCCAGCCTTTCTGCTTCCCCAGAACAGGCAGGCCACAGGAATGAGCCATGCCTTGGGGCTCTGAAGCCCCTACAAACGCAGCTCCCAGCCTGCTCACACAGAAGGGCTGGGCCAAGGTGGGTCCAGACAAGGCCAGGTGTGCCGCGGTCCTCACAGTAGCCAGGAGGATGGAAATCCCTGGGAAGCCCCGGCCCAGGATCCCCACTTCCCACGCGGGGGACCTGTACGCATCCCAGCTTCAGGCCTGCTGCTGCCTGAACACGAGGCCAAGGTATGGAGTGCGCAGCTGGCACCAGGAGTAATGACTTCATGGGGCCCCTAACGTGCAGCCTGCCCCTCCTCCCGCCCCCTTAAAAGGCCTCCGTCTTAAAGACGACGACCCCCACACTGCTAGCTGGAGTTTCGCTGTGTCAGGAGGCCGGGCAGGAGCGGTGGGCACCCTGGGAGGAGTGGTGGCCCAGGACAGCGCCTCCACTCGCCTTCTCTGTCCAGGCTCCTGGGAGATGGGGGAGGTCGCCGAGCAGCACAGTTCGGCTCTCAAGAGTCAGTCGAAAGGAGGCCGCCCACCCACCCGCGGAAAAAAGGGGTTAGGGCCGGCAGACCCTGGGGACCCTGGCTGAGGCTGTTTCCCCAGACCGACCGGGCACCGGCCAGCGCCCGCTGACAACTTTTCTACCGCCTGGAAAAGTCCAGAACAACTCGGGGGCGGGGAGCGGGCGCGGGAGCGGACCCCTACGGCGGGCGCTGTACGCGTGGCACTGTTTACGCGAGCGGCCCAGGAGGCGCGGCCGCAGGAAGATGGCGACGGCGAGGGCGGGGCCGGCCGGGCGGGGCTGCGGCCGCGGCCTGCGCGCCTCCTCCTCCAGGCTGGCCGCCGGGGCGCGCGGCGACGGCGCTGAGGGCCGCGGGCCGGGAATCCAGGCCCAGGGACCACGCTCCGGGCGGGGGCGGGGGTTCGGGCCGGACGGGGGCGGGCGTGGGGGGCGGTACCTGTTGTTCGGGGCCTTGCGCACCAGGCTGGCCGCCTTTGTTTTCTCCCTGGTGAAGTCGCCGTCGAAGGGCAGCACCGAGGCGTAGCCGTGCTCGGCCTCTGCGGACACACGGCGCGGTCAGCGGCCCCCGCCCGGCCCGGACCCGCCGCCCGCCCACCGCTGCGGGCGCACAATGGGGCGCGAGCGCTACCTCGATCCCTGCGCTCCAGGTACTCGGCCGCCTCCAGCAGGATCAGCAGGGAGTTCAGCTCCATCCTCCCGCCCGCGCCTGTCCCCCCCGGGACGGCGGCGGCCGCTGCCCGGCCCGCTCCGGCCGGCTCCGCTCGCCGCCCGCCCCGCGCGCCCGGCCGCCGCACTTCCAGACTCCGCGGACTCCGGCGCTCGGCCGCCACCCTCCGCCTCAGGCCCTCAAATTGACACATAAGGGAGAGCGGCGGCCCGCAGAGCCAATGGGGGGCGGTGTTCGGGCTCCAGGGGCGGGCGCAGGGACGGACCGGGGCCAATGGGGGCGAGTCGAGCGCCTCGGGCGGAGCCGAGAATGTTGACAGATGCGGAGCTGGGCTGGGATAGGCCGGCCGCGCTAGTAACAATTTAGAAGCCCGAGCTTAGCAACAGCACGTGGTGGCCCGGCCCCCGCGCTAGCTGACTGGCGGCCACCATGCATGTTAAGTAGGCACCGCGCACCGATTGGCCAGAGCGACCTATGTAAAACAGGCACTGCGAGCCAATGGCCGGTGGCGGGGCGCGCGGCCAATGGGGGTGTCGCGGCCGGACGCGTTGCCGAGAGGAAGCGCAGCGCGCTGGTACCGCCCGCAGGCTTGGGGGCTCGTTAGGACGCAGGAGCGTCTCGGCGACGCGGGCGCAGCGGGGTGCTCTGGGGCGTACGCCGAGCCGGGCCGGGCCTGAGCGCGGCTAAAGCAGTGGCTCCGCGGGGGTACGAGGTCTCGCGCTCTGCCCGCGGGTCTCGCGTGGGGCCGCGAACGACTCTCCTCCCCACCGGGCGCAGAGTGGCCCCGGGAAAGGCCCGTACTTGGGAGAGGGACACAGACGCTCTGAGCCTAAGAGCCAGGCCCCTCTAAGAGTGTCAATGGGAAACAGGCCCAGAGCGGGCGGGCTCATCAGATGGCCCAGTGGACGCGGGAGCTGAGGGAGAGCCCAAGTCTGGGGAAGGGACACAGATGTGCACCCAGAGTCGCGAGGCTCCCCAGAGTCGGGGGCTGCGTGCTCTGTGTCTAGTCTGAGGGGCAGGGACGGTCCCAGAGGCAGGCGCTGGCCTCCTCTGGCAACAACGCTCTTTGTAGGGAGGGAAGTTGCCCTAAGTGGGGACGACGAGAGTGAACTCTTCATCAAATCCCGGCTGGCGGGTCTCCCTAGTGACCCCTGATCCTAAGGCTGGCCCAGGAGGTGGCAGGACTGGCAGCTCCGGGCTGGCCATGGCACCCCCCACCCTCTCGCTGATTTTTTATTTTATTTTATTTTTGAGACGGCTCTGTCGCCCAGGCTGGAGTGCAGTGGCGCGATCTCAGTTCACTGCAACCTCAGCCTCCCGGGTTCAAGCGATTCTCCTGCCTCAGCCTCCCAAAGTAACTGGGACTACAGGCGCATGCTACCACGCCCAGCTAATTTTTGTTTTTTGGAAGAGACGGTTTCACCATGGATGGTTGCGATCTCCTGACCTCGTGATCCGCCCGCCTCGGCCTCCCAAAGTTCTGGGATTACAGGCGTGAGCCGTCTCGCCCGACCCTTCTTGCTGATTTTTGAGGTTGATGGCCTGGATGTGCCAAGGTCAGGCCCCGCATGCTGGAGAGTGTGGAGGCATAAGGTGACTGGACCCCTCCAGAAGTTCTCAGTGGGCACAGGGGCTGCTGCTGCCAACGAAACTCAACAAAAAATGTAAAACCTCAGCACCAGGACCGGCGTGAAAGCTTCGTGTGCATCATCTCCCTGGGTTTTGCATGCCCGGCTTGCAGATCAGGACATGGGACTAGGGGCTCAGGGATTTGCTAGGGTCTCCCAGAAATCTCAGCAGAATGGAGATTCCTGCTGCCACACACGACCCAGGGCTATAGGAATGCAGAGGCCAGAGCCTCCTGGCCTGGCTGGTCCTGGGTGTAAGCCTGTGGGCTTCAGAATAATGTGTTCCCACAGAGCCCTGCAGGACCCGGTGGGGAACTTGGTACACTGCTATGAGACAGCCCTGCACGGACATTGAAACAACCCCCTTCATGTTAGCAGGGGCCCTTCCTGCTCCTGCCCCACAGTCACTCCAGGGCCCCAGGCAGAGCCCCTCACAAGAACTCAGCACCATGGCCCTCCAGGTTAGTCTGTAGGGCTGCTCAGAGCTGTGCATGGTAAAGAAAGGTGCCCAAGTCTGGGGAGGAGCAAGGTGTGTTTGGGCTCTGGGGACCCCAGCTCTCCACTTAGGGGTCAGCATTTTGCAAAGTTGGTCCATCCCTGCTTTGGCCGCCCGGTGAGTTGCTGCCGACACCTAAAGCAGACACCTGGCCTGGTACAAGTGCACCTGCTGGGCATAGTGCATGCCCCCTTCCTGCCATTGGCCGAGAGGTTTGTTCTGTATGGCAATGGGCAGCACAGGTGCTCAGGTGTGTCTGTGGGGAGGCACCTGCAGGCTGCCCCAGTCTAAGAGATTTCTAGCCTCAATTTAGGCCATTTATGGAATCACCCTCGCCTCCCCACCACACTGAGGACCAAGCACTTCCCTGGTGTCCCTGGGCTCAACTTTGCCTGGGAGTGTGGTCACCACTGCCTGGGGGAGCAGGAAGGAGTGGGGAGTTGGGAGGAGAAGCCGCAGGAGGCAATGGATGACGGAGGGCTGAGCTGCAGCCAGGGAGGGAGGTGCTGGAGGCATCAGCCAGCTGGGGCAAGAGGAGAGGGAAGGGGAGGGAGCAGCCAGGAGAGGCCTGGAGGTGATGTTGGCCTGGCCCAGATGGCTGCAGGTGGGCCTGGAGCCCCGCCAGGAGAGGTCTGGGGCCCCTGGGGGATAGGGGCGCTGGTCCCACCTGCAGCTGGCAGGGTCTCTACACCCACAGGTCTCAACTTGTCCTTCCCAAGATGGGCAGAGGCACCTTGGGTCAGTGCCGGCAGGCACCAATGCCCATGGAGTCCCAGGGATGGTTGAGGAATGGGGAGGATGTGGCTCAGGTCAGCCAGTTGGACCCAAGTCCTGCAGGGCATGGGCCATGACCCCTTCTGTAGGGCAGGTCCCCCAGAGGGTGTGGCATCTCCGGGGAGCTTTCTGTGGGCACAGGCTGCCGCAGGAGGCTCCTGCCCAGTCCTGCCCTTCTCCGGAGCCAGGACCTGTCCAATATGCACCAATGAAGGCTAGGAGAGAGTGGGCAGACATCTCCAGCCTCCTTCCATGGGGAGCCCAGTCCCCCTACCCTACTCTGGGAGGACCTCTCTATGCCACTCCGGGACCTCCAGGGTGCATCCCATTCCTGCCCCATCTTCTGGGCCCCGCCTGGCCTTGCATTCTCCCTGAGTCGTTCGCCCTCACTGTCTCCTTTCCCTCATGACGGCCCACCCGAGCCCACCCCGGCAGGGGCTCCCAGGGAAGGGATGACCTGAATGCAGAAGGGCTTCCCCGGTTTCGGGTGGAAGGCCAGGGCAGGCTTGTCTTCTGCTGCCTGGATTTCCTGAGTTTTCTTGCCCCAGATGCCACAGCCTCAGCTTCCCTGGCTGTGAACGGGGCTGGTGGTGCTGCCTCTTGGGACGTGTGGAGGACGGAATAGGACTAAAGGATTCCTGGTTTTGCTTGGGAAAGGCTACTGGGCTGACTCCCCACCCCCAGGATCTCTGAGAGTATCTAAGGCGGGCCCCAAAGAGACCTCCAGAAGACAGCTTCCTGGCCTTCCTGTGCCCACTGGGCCCCAACTTCCTTCCTCTGGACTCAGGATCCACAGACTCCTCATGGCCACACACACACGACTTCTTGGGGTATCTGAGTCTCAGCATAGCCTCAAGAAGCACCCCTCACACACCCAGGGAGGGAAGGTTGGTGAGGCCCCGGCAGCTGCAGAGCCTCTTTCCCACACTTCCAGGCTGACTAGGCCCTGATCCCCCCAACTTGGCCACTGACGCCCTGCCCCTCCCACCTTGGGCCTCCTGTCACTGGGTGGACTACCTGCAGCCCCCAGGTCCCCTGTCCCAGCATTCTGGGCAGGAGGCCGCCCTGCCTCCACTCCATCAGAATCCTCCTGTGGCGCAGTCCCCATCTCCACAGCCCTGAGGGGTGGCGGGTTCTAGGACTGTGGGATGGCCCGGGTTAGGGCTGGAGAGCTGTGACCAGCCCAGCATGCGCCCAGTGCCCCGGGGCCTTGGCTTCCCTGCACCCAGAGGCCTGGTTTTGTGCCGGCACCAGGGGGAGTCCTGTGGGGCCTCTCCTTGAAGCCACCCTGATTTCTAGTCCTGTCACCTATCCTCCCTGAGCCTGTTTCCTGGGCTATAAAATCGGAGGTGATGGTACTTGCCTCTTGGGTGGTTGGGGTGTGCCATGGAGGATGCATGCAACGGCCTGCGCAGCAGCGGGCTGGGCTAAGGGGTGCCCAGGAAGTGCCAGGAATATGAACATCAGCTCCAAATCAGCAAGAGCCTCCAACCCCTCGGCCTTGCTCACAGAGAGACGGGGCTTAGGGGAGACAGGGCCTGCCCAGTCTCAGCCGGTCAGTAGCAGAGTCTCACTCAGAACCTGGGTGGAGCTTTGGCCGCCCAGGCTGGCCAGCCACGGGCACCAGGCCAGGCCTCTTGGGGGCCTTCCAAAAAGTTTGATACTCAGGAAAACACTCTCCAGAATACAAAAAGAAGGCGGCACAATCAAAATGCATGGAGATGTAATTAAATGTTTACATAACCTAATATCCACCTTATTTTTAAATTTAAAATAAGATAATTCTATTTGTGAACAATTGGTGGGGTACATTTTTTTTTGTCACTTTACAAGGTTTTCCCAGCATGCTGATGACCCCAGACAACTCAGACAACTATAAATTAAATGAATTTCCTATGGCCCCAAATGTCCAAAAGCAAGGGAGTAAATTTTCCTTTCAAACACTTTTACAAGAGGGAAACAAGTTTATGAAAGAGGCTGTGGCTGCAGATTCAAGGCACTCACTGTGGTGTCTGGGGGTGGCCTCCAAAATTGGGAGGACCAGAACCTGTGAAGCTGGATAGGCCCTGCCTGGTCCTGCTACTGTTCTGGGACTGCCTTTCTTCCCTGAGGCCTGGGGTAGAAGAGCAGGTCCTCCTCTCATGAATGGTAGGGGTGCTGCCATCTGGGAGGGTTTCCTGGAGGAGGTGGGTCTGTAGGGCCTGGGAGCACCTCCAGGGCTCTGGGGCATGGGGGTAGTGTGGGTGGGCACTTAGAGGCCTGCCTGCCTCCCCTGAGCTCCCACTGCAGAGTCCAGAGGGCAGGAAGTGCAGGGGCTGGGCGCTGGTGGAGGCATCAGTGCACAGATGCCACAAAGCTGCCTCTCCAGGGTTCTGCCAGCTCCCCACCTAGCCCTGGTGGTACAGGTGTCCAGCTCCAACAGGACCACTGAGGGCATGGTCTGTCCTGCCCTTGGTCATTGCTGTACTCTCCAGGGCCTCTCTGGACCCTCCTCCCAGGTGTAGAACCTTGAGGACTAGGGCCTGGCCACTGGGTCAGGCTGTGCAGGGGTCTCTGTCCAGACGTAGGGCGCCTGGCCATGGTGGGGGGACCCCAACACAGGCAGGACCTCAGGCTGCGCTGCTTCGAGGAGGCAGTGGAGTTGGGCGGGCCCTGGTGGCCATTAGGGGCAACAACAGGACTCCTGAAGATAAGCAGGAGCTGCGGTGGGGGGTGGGGCAGGGCCTGGACCACAGGAGGGGAGGGGACGGTTCCTGCCTCTGACCTGCTCCCTGGCCCAGCAAGGACACCCATCACTTCTGAGCCTCCCTGCATTCTCGTCCCAGGCCTCCCCAGAGCCACCTGCCCCTTTGTTCACGGCCTCCTTATCTCCACTCGGCCCAGGAACCAGCACAGCCAGTGTGGGTGAGGAGTTTGCCGCCTGAGGAAGGGCCACTGGACAGATGAGCAGCAGGGGACCCACCACAGTGCAGGTGGGTGAGGGCCTCGGGAGATGCCTTAGCCTGCAGTGGGCAGGGCAGGACAGGGTGGGGTTTCTCCCTTCTCCCCCACCTCATCCCACCTCCCCAAGATCAGGTGTGGCGATGGTCTCTCTGCCCCAGGCAGAGAGACCTCTTGAGCCCCTTGGACACAGCAAGCTCGGGGGATCCTCCCAGCCCTGTGCATAGCCCGGGCAGTGCAGGGAGCGCTGGCTCAGGCAGCCCCAGCCTTTCTCCAGCTGCTGGGACTAGGAACCCAGGTGCTCAGGGGTGGGGACGTCCCTGCCTCTGCAGCAGCCTTCCCTGGAAATGGTCTCCAGACACCATCCAGGTACCATCGGCCATGGCCAGTGCTTCCTGGAGCACCTCCCATCACAGGAACTTCTGTGTCTGCCTCTTGGAGACCCTCCTAGATGCCCACAACCCAGTTCTATCACTTACAGACCGTCTTGAGCCTCAGTTCCCCCATCTACAACACGGGGATGCTGCTCCCTCGAAGGGCTGTTGTGGGGAGAGGAGACAGCCCTGCTCAGGAAACAACAGCAGTGATGGTGATGGTGGGGAAACTGAGGCTCACAGGGGATGACCCCACAGCCAGATCCCATGGCACTCTCCTGCTCCCAACCCAGAGACTGCAGTCCCCAGCCCCATCTGTGGGTGGGTGACAAGTCTTCCCTTCTAGAGCCTTCCAGAGCTGGTTCTGCCTTGGCCCAGCCCCTCTCACCCCCAGGTCCTGGCTCTGCCCTTGGGGTGGGAATAGCCTCATGGGTGGGTGGTGACCACATGTCCTGCCTTTAGTATGGAAAGTCCCGCAGCCCAGGAAACCTCTCATTCCTGGGGGAACAAGACAGTTGGTCACCCTTTTTGGGGGGATCCTGCAGCCCCAGGCTTTCCTGCAGGGCAGCTCTGCTGCACAAGGCAGGCCAAGGCTGGCCTGGAGGGCTGCCAGGGACACAGGCCACATCCAGACCTCTGAGGGGAAGACCCTTCTTGGTCTCTGCTCCCTCTGCCACTACTGACCTGGTGGACGAGGAGGACCCCCTTGCCTTAGCCCAGAAGGCGGCCACCACGGGTGTCTTTGAGGAGCAAAGGGATGCGGTGCAGCTTCGTGCAGCACAGCTGTCCACTGGGGTGGGTGTGGGGGCAGGCAGTCCATCTCAGAGTCCCCCAGTGTCCCTTCTCCTCTGCTCCCAAATAACTCAGCACTGCTCAGACGGGGCCCCACATTCCAAAACACTTTCTCCCTTGGCAGAAAGAAAGCACCCCTAGTATCTGCCCACCCACCAGTGCCCACCTCCAAAGGACAGGGTACCCGAGTCCCGTGGGCACAGGCCCATTGTCGAGGCAACCCGGGCTGCGGCCATCCTCCTGAGTTCTCTCCAGGACACTCCAGAAGGCAGCCGCTCTGGGCGTGAGCAGCACAGCCCTGCAACCAGGGCCACCAGGTGGGGCAGGCCCCAAGTCGGGGTGGCCACGAGCACTAACCCTGCCCCCCACAGGCCAGGGGGCTGAGCTGAAGACGCCTGTGAGAAGAGGAGCTGGGCAGGTAGATGGGCAGGTGGGGACGGGCATCACGGGGGCAGAGCCCTGGAAGGTGGGAAGAAGCCTGCAGGAAGCAGGGGGTGGCCACCGCTCCTAAGGGCTGGTGGGAGCCAAGTCCCGCCCTTCAATTGTCCTAAGAGTCCAGGAGCCTCCAGCTTCTTAGAGGAGAATGCATATTAGCACCAACACCATCGCTTTCCAGACAGAGAAAAAAGATCCGCATTCACGGAAGAAAGGAGAGCGTGTGCAATCCTTAAATAGATTTATGGAAATGGCTTCAAATTACAGCATTTAGAAAATAAATATAATCTCAGTACATAATATTTCTTCCATTATATACTCTCCCCCCGACAGAAGCCGTTTCTATGCATGTGTACTCCACCGGTAAATAGTAATTAGATTTTATCCTAGAAAAGAAGCAGTAGGTGTGTCATCTCCAAAAATAAAACTGCAATCGTCATTGCAATGTGAAGCCTGAGATTTAAGCCTGAGGAGGTGTCTGCTGGGGCGACTCAGCTGCGGCAGCTTGGGTCCCAGGCCACTTTGGGGTCTGAGGAATTGGGCCAGGGTTCCAGAGGGTGCAGAGGGAAGGGGAAGTGGTGGCTGAGCTGGCGGCCCCAGGCGTCTTGGCTGACTGGTAAGCCCGACCCAAGGCCCCGAGCAACGTCTCCCTGCGGTGTCAGTGCCTGATCAGACCCCCACGCCATCAGCAGGGGGACAGTGGTGAGCAGACACCAGGAGCACCCTGCTCGCTTAGAGGACCACTAGGTCAGCTTCCCGCATCTCCCCACTCCAAGAAGAAATGAGATGCATGTTGTCAAGTCCTGAGGAAGGATGGTGAGGGGTGAGGGCTGGGGAACGAGGTGGGCAGCTGTTGGGGAGAATGGGCAGCCTGCATTTTGGGTTTGGGAGGCACATGGGGAGCCCTGCTGTGCCACAGAGGCTGTGGAGTGGCCCTTGCTCTGGCTTCCAGATTCACCACAACAGCAGAGGCGGCAGAGTGGCCCCACTCTTGTACAGCTCTGTCACCCACCCCGATTCCCATAGTCCCAGCGGAGCTCCAAGGGACCAGTGGGAGGGCCCACCCCTTCTCCGCCAGGCACCCTGCCCTGAGGCAGCTACCAGGCTCCTCCGGGTCCCCTGCTGGGCAAAGCTGACCTCCTGTTGGCCCCTGCAGCTGGCCCGGGGTCCCTGCGGGGAGGCCAGGATGGGCGAGACAGAGGCTCTGGATGTTCTAGAGGTCCGGGCCGCCCTGCAGCAGCAGGGGCAGCAGCCTCATGAGACTCAGTGAGATCGCCTGCAGCGTGGCCCGGGTGGGTTGGGGCTGCCCCTGGCGCCACGTCACAGGCCGGCCTTGTCGCTGTAGAAGGGCGTGACGTGGAACATGTAGCAGTGGGTGCACACTCGGACCGGCTTCACCTGCCCGTAGCGGGGCAGTGGTGCTGAGTGCGAGGAGCAGCGCGAGCAGAAGATCTGGAATGGGGTTGGGGCAGTGAGGGTCTGCGGCAGGCCAGCCCCACCCACGCTGACTCCTCACCCTCCCACACACCTGCCCACCCAGCTCAGGCCGCGTTGGTGGGTGGGGACTGCCCAGCCCTGGGTGCCAGGGGTTGTGACCTTCAGGAGGCTGGGCTCTATGAGGGGCCCACATCCTGCACCAAGGCTGCTGCAGCCTCCTGTTCACACTCGCTGTCCCCTCCCTGTGGCTGGCTCTGCAGCAGCTGGGACTGGACATGGGCACCATCCAGGTCCCTGTGGTCAAATGCCTAGAGTCAGAGCAGGGCCCAGGACCTCCAGGAGCCTCTGCACAAGACCCCACAGGCCTCGCCGGCCTCCTTGGGCATCGGTCCTGACTTCCAGACCTCAGGCTGTGTCCGTGGAAGCCCCTGGATGCTGGGGGACCCTCCGTGCGTGGGGCCGCACCCACCTTCCCGCAGCTGCGGCAGTGGTGCTTCCGGCGGATGACGGTGAAGGGCGCTTTGCACGCCATGCAGAAGCCACAGGCCTCATCTGGCACCCACTCCGGGGGGTCTGTCACAACAACAGCAGCGTCACATCAGCAACGGCAGGGGCAGGTGGGCTGGGTCGGGACCCTCAACCCGCCTGGGCCCTTCTTCCCAGACTGCCAAGCTGCCTGGCCTCCAGCCAGCCTCCCAGGGGCGGTCTCCCAGCTCCCACATGCCCAGACCGGGTGGCCTGCAGCCCCTCCCCCAGGAGGAAGGCTCCCCTGGCTCCTACAGCCCTCACTGGTGTTTAGTGCAGTGTCCTGGCCCAGACCCTCCCACACACCTTCGAAGTCCCCGTCGCGGGTCTTGGCTGCCAGTTCAGAGGATGACAGGGTCTCCTGGCACAGTGCACAGTCCTCCAAGGCCGCACTCCGCAGAGTCTGGGTGACTGGTGGAGAAGGAGGGGTCGTCGGGGTGTGGTGAGGGAGACGGGGAATCGATGCCGGGTCACCTGCACCTGCTGGGCACAGCTGGGGGCTTCCAGCAGTGGGGCAGCTCCCCAAGACCACTGGCAGTCTCATGGCAGGTGGCACCACAGCAGGGTGGGCGCTGATCCTGGCTGGGGGTCTTCCTGAGCAGGGGACTCTCCTTTGCACAGCATGGGGGCCCAGAAGCCTGTGGCTGCTGTCCCTGATAGGGGCCAGCCCTGGGGCCCCTGCATGGCACATGTGTGGCCAGGACTCCAGCTCACAACCTCTGTGTGCAGAACAGGGCCATGTCACCTGCCGTCTCTGAATCATGATTTCCAGAAGGCAGCCCTGCCAACCTCCCTGGTAGAACGCAGCCTGGCGGTGTGGATGCCGCAAGGCAGAGCTGGGTCGGCACATGGGCTCCTCCCTGCTGGCAAGGGTATGCCCTGCTGGGCCAGGGCTCCAGGACCAGGCGGGCTACCCCATGTGCCCGGACACCCATGAGCAAAAGCCCCTGTGGTGAGGGGCGGCTCTGCTGGAAAAGTGCCTCAGCTCAGCACCAGAGCACCGGGCATGGCGAGCAGGGGCTTAGCCCCCTTTCCCACCCTGGATCCCTCCCTGTGCCTAACCAGTCCCTGCCCTGACGCCTTCTCCCTCCCAGATAATGTGTGCACACGTGTGAGTGGGAGCGTATGTGCACGTGTGCGTGGGTGTGCATGGGTGTGCATGGGCGTGGGTATGCATGAGTACATGTGCACATGTGAGTGGGAGCGTATGTGCCCATGTGTGCGTGTGTGTGGGTGTGTACATGAGTACATGTGTGCACATGTGAGTGGGAGCGTATGTGCCCATGTGTGCGTGGGTGTGCATGGGTGTGTGTGCATGGGCGTGGGTGTGCATGGGTGTGTGTGCATGGGCGTGGGTATGCATGGGCGTGGGTGTGCATGGGCGTGGGTATGCATGAGTACATGTGTGCACATGTGAGTGGAAGCATATGTGCACATGGGTATACGTGTGTGTGTGCATGGTGTGGGTATGCATGAGTACATATGTGCACATGTGTGTGCACGTGCCTGTGTGTGAATGTGACTGTGAGAGCCGCCTGTGTGCTTGTGCTGTGTCAGCGTGTGTGACACCTCAGCAGCTCATGGGCAGCAGTGGACTCCTTTCCACCCCCATAGGGAGGTGGGTTCGGGGAGGGCTGCCTCGAGCTGCTCTGAGAGGCAGCATTCGGTAGAAGTGACGCGGCACCACAGCTGAGTCTCATCCTCAAGAGGGAGGGTTTGGGCTCTCCCAGCCTCCATCAGAGCCAGAAGTGAAGTCACCTTGCTGCCACACGTGCAGGGGACAGTAGCCAGGGCTGTGGGCATGAGCCAGGGGCCCTTGCCCATCTGCTGGTTTGCAGGGGTGGAGTGTCTTCCTGGGCAGGCAGCCCATCTGGGCACTTCCTGGGCCTGCTGCTGTGCCCCTTGGCTTCCCAAGCAGGCAGGGCAGCCTGGCACATTTGGAGTGCGGAGGTCATGGGACCCTGGGCTCAATGATTGCTTGCCCAGGGCCAGAAGGTATAGATTTCTGAGCACCCCCTCCCTGTGGGCAGGGACATGGTCACCAGTGCAGGCCTCAGAGCCCGTCCTGAGTGGGCACTCACCCTTCCTTAACTTTTCCTTGTTGTCTGTTTCGGGTTTGGTGGCCATGACCTCAAACAGTGTTTTAAGAATACTTCTCAGGTCACTGGCATAGTTTGTCTGTAGCTGGTCAGCCACACCTGAGGGAGGAAGACCACAGTAACAGCAACAGAAGGACAGATGGAAGGAACTGTGGAGGTTGGTGCTGCAGGCTGGGCGGACCCAGCCAGAGCTCACAGCCCAGGCCAGTGTGTTCTCAGATCAGTCAGGGAAGGAGGCATCCCACCCCCTTGGGGCAGGATTCCCTTGACAAGAATAAAAACTTGGGAGTCAAGAGAGAGCAGGGGAAGGGAGAGGACCAGACAGACAGCCCTGCCACAGTTGGTCTGCCACTGACATTCACGCCTTTTATGCACAGGTCACAGCCATCACCGCTAAGCTGGCCGGGCCATGCGCTGAGGGACACTTACAGAGCCCCTGCACTGTGCCCACCCCCAGGCCAGTGCTTGTGACTGTCACAGCCACTCAGGCATCCAGATGTGTCTACCTGCAAAGCATGTCCTGCGACAGCCCCCAAGCAGCCTACGTGGTTGGGAGCCCAGGGTGGACCCTGTCCAGAGGTGGTGCCTAGTGCCTGGCTCTTCTGCCCCCCACCCCACTGCCCCCACCGCCACTCCCTGGAGGAAAATGCCTCCCACCCTCACCTGCAGATCCCCTCCTCCTCCTGCCTGTGTGGGGTCAGTCCAGCCTTTTCCATGAACAGGAGTGCTTGCTCCTTAGGGGCAGAGTGGGCTGCCGTTCACAGGAAAGTGAGGGGGAGGCTGTGCATGCCCCGCCTGACCTCCCCTAAAGTGCAGCCCATGTGTCCTCAAGCCATACACCGGTCCCAGGCCCCGACACGGCACCTGAAATGCAGACGAACAGGCGGTGGATGAGGTCGTGGCTGCCGTGGAACCTGGACCGGATCTTCTCTCTTGTGGCCTGTGGAGCGACATGCATGGCTGCTGGGGCCACCTCTGGCCCCGTCTTGTCTGAGGAGCAGGACCCAGGCGCGGAGCTGCTGCATGGAGAAGGAGACACCAGCATGTGGGGTGGGGCACGGTGAGGGGCTGTGGAGCCTGAAGGTCACTGGTCAAGACAAAAGTCTGTGTCCTCACAGACACCCACCCCACAGGCGTGTATCTGTTGCCCAGATACACAACTTCCCTATAACTTCACCTAAAACGTCCTCAGTGTAACACGCTCACCACGTACGCCAGGTGGTGCAACAGGGTTCTGAGCCTGTCCCAGGCCTGTTCTGGGTCTTTGATTTCTGCTAGGCCTCCTGGAATTGACAGCTGGTGGCGACTCACCCACGGAGGCTGCACCCCTGGCTTAATATCAACCGGCTTCCCCTATGGAAACGTCAACTCACCTTTCACACCTTTTCTAACGGCTTGTCAGGCAGCCCCCACAAATATCTCTTCTCACCCTAGCCCCTGAAACCTGTGAATGTGACCTCATTTGGGAAAGGGGTCTCAGCATGAGTAATTAAGTGAAGCATCTGGAGATGAAGAGATTGTCCTGAATGATCCGGATGGGCCATAAGTCCAATGACAAGAGTCCTTATAAGAGGCAGAAGAGGACACAGACACAGAGGGCAGGCGAGCCCATGTGACCACAGAGGCCGAGACCGGAGACGCGGCCCCAACCCAAGGAACACCTGGAGTCCCCAGAAGCTGGGAGAGGTGGAAGGAGCCTGCTCTGGAGCCTGCGGACAGAGTGACGCTCTGCCAGAGTTTGCACTTCTGGCCTCCGACTGTGAGACAGTTTCTAGGACTTAGGCCAGTCTGTGGTGACAGCAGCCTCAAGAAACGAATACAGGATCCCCCACCCCCAACTACACTTCCCGTCTCCATCTTCCCAGCAGCTGCGTCCTCAGCTTTTATGAGATTTGCTGTTCAGGGGTTCCATGGTGACCCTATAAATCATTCACACAGCTGGGCCTGTACTAACTTAGGGGGTTCACCTCGCCCAACTCTAGGGGTGCACCCACTGGCCCCTCTCATTTTAAAATAATTTATCTCCTATCATATCTTTTTGTCCCATTTTCTGGGAAATTTCCCCCAACTCATTCTTCTAATTTTGCTCTTGACTTTTAAATTCCTGCTATCAAGTTTTAAATTTACTGCTGTTAACTGTTGTTTCATGGATGCAAAATCTTTTCTCTACCTAGAAATATTCGGATAATTTTTTTCGGTTGCCATTGGCATCCTGCGCAGCCTCTTTTGGAGGGCTTGGCTCATTTATCTGGCCATGTCTCATGCCGAGCCTTGCCCCAAATGTGACCTGAGCAAAAATAAGAAGAGTGTGGGTGGAACAACAGGAGCCTTCACCTTGCGGGTGGGAGTGTCAGCTGGTGCAGGCACTTCAGAAAAAATGTTCGCACCATTTCAGTAAAACCAGGGCTGTCTACACTCCGGAGCCTGGTGGCCTCTGTTGCTGGCACACACTGGAAACGTGCGTCTGAGTCTGTCTGCAGAGATGCACGGTCTTAGACGCAGTGCTGGGGTTTCCAGTGAAACGCAGGCCAGGATCCCAAGTCCGCCGGAAACGGAATGGAAGACCCATCGTGATCTAATCACTCACCGGCAGAGGCCACGGAGGCGGAGGCCAGCCAGCCACGGCCCCGCCAACGTGCGCGAATCCCGCGTGGCGTGAGTGCTTTCACACACCGTGGGAAACACGCAGAACTGCGTGGTATCTAATTTAGGGACACAGCCTCGTGACGTAAACCCTGCAGAAGCACAGAGGCATGACACACGTGAGAATTCAGCGTAGCGAGCTGCGGCAGATGCGGGGAGGAGGCTGGAAGAGTCCCTGGAGCTGCTCGGGGCCCCCTCCCTCATGGGGATGTGCTAACAAGCTGAATATTGACCGGAACGTGGGGGCACAGTGGGAGGCTTGGGGGGCCTGGGTCCATGGGACGGGACCCTCTGCTGGGACCCCAACAATGCTCCATGGCTCTCCCCTCCCAGGTGGTCCAGTTTCCACAGATGAAGCCCCTGCCTTCAGCTTGGGGGTGTGGGCCTTGCTGCCGTCTGCCCTGGGAGCTGAATAAGGGAGGGGTCTTCACTGTCCAGGATGTCAGCTTCCACTCAGTACCCCCAGCCTCATCAGAGCCTTACCCAAAGGAACTGAAATTTGGAACTCAGACAGATACTTGCACGCCCACGTTCATAACAGCCAAGAGATGGCAGCAACCCAGGTGTCTGTTGGCAGAGGCGTGGGTAAACCAAATGTGGTCCATCCATACAACAGAATATTATTCAGCCTTAAAAAGGAAGGAAATTCGGATCTAGGGTACAGCATGGATGAATGTTGGCAAGATCATGCTGAGTGAAATAACCCAGCTACCAAAGGATGAGTCCTGCGTGAATCCCTGACACGAGGTCCTGAGAGCCATCACGTTCCTACAGACAGGAAGTAGAACGGTGGGTGCCATCACCCATCACGTTCCTACAGACAGGAAGTAGAACGGGTGGGTGCCATCAAGCCCCTACAGACAGGAAGTAGAACGGTGGTGCCATCAATGCCTTACAGACAGGAAGTGAACGGTGGTGCCATCACGTTCCTACAGACAGGAAGTAGAACGGTGGGTGCCATCACGTTCCTACAGACAGGAAGTAGAACGGTGGGTGCCAGGGTGGGCAGAGGTCGGGGAGTGGGGGGAGCGAGTGATGGGGAAACAGTTTCAGTTTGGGAAGATGAGGACATTCCGGAGATGATGATGGTGACGGTTGCACAGCACCAAGTGTGTTCAATGCCGTGAAATTGTATGCTTAGGAAAGGCTAAATAGTAAACTTTATGCTACATATATTTTACAAAAAATTAAAAACATGAAAAAAAAAAGAATTGGGGCAGGGAGAGAGCAAAGGAAAGGGAACGGAGGCGGCAAGTACGTGGCAGAAGGCCGGATTGGCATGGCGCCTGACGCAGAAGGCTCGGGGGTGTTATTACCCACAACTACTGAGCTATGTGCTTTAGAAAGGTGAATTTTGTGGTATGTATGTTATATATCAATAAAGGCTTTGTTTAAAGACCACTTGTGTTTAGATATGGTAGCAATAAAGTGAAAGTGAAATTAAGAAAACAATCCTTAGTCCTTTACAACAGCATAAAAAAGATTAAAATACTTAGACTAAATTTAACAAAAGAAGTACAAGAATCATACACTGAAAATAACAAAACATTGTTGAAAAATATCAGAAGACCTACATAAATGGGAAGACATCTTGTGTTCACAGATCGGAAGACACCACTGTTGAGATGGCACGACTCCTCAAATCAATCTACAGATTCAACGCAATCTATACGGAAGTGTCGGCTGTCTTTTTTTCTTGTAGAAATTGACAACCTGATCCTAAAATTAATATGGAAATGACTCAAGGGACCCAGAGTAGCCAAAAGAAAAAAAAACAAGTTGGAGGACTCACCCTTGTGGTCTGCAATGTGGCATGAGAGAGCAGGAATCAAGACTGTACGGCACCAGCATAGGACCGACATACAGACCAATGAGACCGAGAGTCCACAAAGAACCCCATACGCTTACGGGCAGTGGATTCTCAGCAAGGGCGCCAAGACCACCCAACGAGGAAAGAATAGTCTTTTCAACGAATGCTGCCGGAAAACTGGAGACACACATGCAAAAGGATAAAGCTGAACTCTGACCTTATACCACATACAAAAATTCACTCAAAATGAATCAAATATCTAGATGTCAGAGCTAAAACTCTAAGGTTCTTTTTTTTTTTTTTTTTTTTTTTGAGATGGTGTCTCACTCTGTCACCCATGCTGGAGTATAGTGCCACAGTCATGGCTCACTGCAGCTTCAACTTCCCTGGGCTCAAGCAAGCCTCCCATCTCAGCCTTCCGAGTAGCTGGGACCACAGGCATGCACCACAATGCCCGGCTAATTTTTGCATTTTTAGTGGAGAAGGGGTTTCACCATGTCACCCAGGCTGGTCTTGAACTCCTGGGCTCACGCGATCCACCCACCTCGGCCTCCCAAAGTGTGGGATTACAGGCGTGAGCCACGACGCCCAGGCTTAAAATTATTTTTTTTTTTTTTTTTTTTTTTTTTTTTTTTTTTTGAGACGGAGTCTTGCTCTGTCGCCCAGGCTGGAGTGCAGTGGCCAGATCTCGGCTCACTGCAAGCTCCGCCTCCCGGGTTCACGCCATTCTCCTGCCTCAGCCTCCCGAGTAGCTGGGACTACAGGCACCCGCCACCTCGCCCGGCTAGTTTTTTGTAATATTTAGTAGAGACGGGGTTTCGCCGTGTTAGCCAGGATGGTCTCGATCTCCTGACCTCGTGATCCACCCGTCTCCACCTCCCAAAGTGCTGGGATTACAGGCTTGAGCCACCGCGCCCGGCCAAAATTCTTAAAAGAAAACATTGGAGTAAATATTTGTGGCGTTGGGCTAGGCCACAAAGCATGGGCACCTAAAGCATGGGCAACAAAAGAGAAAACAGATAACTGGACTTTATCAAATTGAAGACTTTCTGCTTCATAGGACACCACCAAGAAAGTGAAGAGAAAACCCACAGAATAATTTTTGCAAATCATGTGTCTGATAAGGACACAGTATCTGCAATATAGAAAGAACTCTTACAATCCAACAACAAAAAGACAAAAAAACAAAACAAAACAAAAACTACTGAACAAATGGAAAATAGATTTGAACAGACATTTTTCCAAAGAAGATATACAAACAGCTAATAAACACGTTAACAGATACCCAACATCCCTGTCAGTCAGGATGTGCCAAAAAAATTACAATTAAATACCATTTGATTTATTAGGATGATGAGAATGTCCCCCCACCAAAAAAAAAAAAAAAAAACCCAGAAAATATGAAGTTGTGGTGAGGAAGGTGAGGACGTGAAGGAACTGGAATCCTCATCTCTTCCTTGTGGTAATATAAAATGGCACAGCCACTTCAGAAAACAGCTGAACGGACAGACAAAATGTGGTCTATCTATATAATGGAATAAGTTTCAGCCATAGAAAGGAACGCAG